GATCGCAGGTTTAAATTGAATTTCACCCCGCTCCCATGTAATCAAGTGGGCACGTGATTTTCGCGAAAATATCCTGCGATCATTTATTCCATAATGACCAATAGGGGAAGTGTGGGCAAGCATATAATTAATTAAAAAGTACAAAAGCGTGATTGGTCGGAATCCAGAATTTGACAAACTTCAAATCGTGTCTCAGATTCTTGGTGGTATTGAACCGGACGAAAATGTGGATCACTCCAGCTACTATTGCAGCTCTTACGTTTGCATCAATATACATGGTGCATGAGGAAGTAAGTTTTAACATGAATAAATACCTCTATGCTGGCACACGCCGGTCTTTGACACCCGAAAACGCAGAGATGGATAAATGTATAAACACAAATTGATTAGTACGCACGCAGAAAATTAAAAAAAAATAAAGTCATTTTTATGGTCATATTTTGGCGAAATTTTTGGGTCATGTTTCATTCATATTTTGAGGTTTTATCGATCATTCATATCCGACGTCTGATTATTACATTCGCTTTTAAATAAAATGGCTTCTAATTCGATTTATTATCCTTTTTTTATGCCAAAAGTCACAGCGCACAAGGAAGTTTTACGTAATTAACTAGTATTAATTTAACCTACATTTCTAGTTTTTTAAGTAAGACTCCAATTAGCATACTTGTCTACGAATTGTAAACCAATTTACATTAGCTAATAATTGCTGACGGTTTAATAACTTTATGATAGCTTCTCAAAAGTACATGCATCCCAATTTGGTGAACCTTAACCTCTTGAAACAAAACAATCCTAACGAACCTAACCCCAACAAAATCGTCCATGTTAAGAATATCATTTTTATAGTGTCCATTCCAACCAACAATTTTCTAAGAAGCTCATCATCCGAAATTTTATGCACCTTCAATTATCTCCCCCCAAGGTTGCCATGTTTAGTCTTTAAAAATCTCCAATTGCTAAACATACCATTCCAATATTTCACAAATCCACTGACCATCAATAGTTAAGTCACTGCATTACTTTAAAATAAGTTAGACGTTACACCAGTCAGGGTAAGGCTGTAATGGCGTTTACTAAACTCCGGGTACCTAGGCCCGCGATAAATAAAGCTTGGTCGCCACACTACACTTTTCCCTCGTCGTTCACGCTTAAAAATTATTACCATACACGAAGTAAAATATAACTAAAAATAAACGTAAAAGTGACTTTACCCGATTTGGGGTATACAGCCACCACTCAGCAACAAAGTAAGGAAAGTTACCCTTCGCAAATAGCCATTTACCCTATACTCGTCTGGGTGCTAACCCTGGTTGGGGTTACTCTGCTAACCCAATATTAAGTAAAATGAATAATGGTCGCAGTATTTAGTGTCTCAATAAAATGAATGCCGCATTTGTAAATATCCTCATAGCTAATATTTATTGCAATTAAATCCACTTAAACTCTATAAATCACAACTTACAAATAATTGACTTAACATTGATAACCTATGTACATCTTTAAAGCGATCGGAGAGTAATGCCAATTTTGGTAAAGGCATTTTTGCATTTGAAACACGTAAATCGTGGCATTTTTCAACATCTGAGTTCCTCCCAAAGTTTCGTGCGATGGCCAAGTATTGGTACAATTGTTGCCAAATTTTGCTGAGAAGTAACAACGCGTCGTCCGTTATTGCATTTTCTATTTCAAAATAAAATGAAATGAATGAGTAAATTGTAGGTTATGGACAATTGTAGACAAACTTACCCTTTAAAGTATCCAACTAGTAGTCCAGCCATCATTGCGATACTCGTCGAGCAGTTTCTTCAATGAAGTACAGTTGGTGTGGAATATTTCACGAATTTTGATTAATTAATTAGCTAAATTAATTAATTCCTACTTTAGTTTTAATTCAAAATCGAACACTCGCCTTACAACACGCTTAAAAATATTCCCGACTTTGCCAGAAGTAAACTGGTAGTTAATTATATATATCGTAACATTGACTATATTTAGCGTTAAATCGATAACTTCACTTTTAGTTACGCATCATTTAGCCATAATTTTAGTTTAGTCACTGCATTTCTTTAAAATAAGTTAGACGTTACACCAGTCAGGGTAACGCTGTAATGGCGTTTATTAAATTCCGGGTACCTAGTTCCGCGAAAAATAAAGCTTGGCCGCCACACTCCACTTTTCCCTCGTCGTTGTAGGACGAGTGTTCGATTTTGAATTAAAACTAAAGTAGGAATTAATTAATTTACCTAATTAATTAATCAAAATTCGTGAAATATTCCACACCAACTGTACTTCATTGAAGAAACTGCTCGACGAGTATCGCAATGATGGCTGGACTACTAGTTGGATACTTTAAAGGGTAAGTTTGTCTACAATTATTCATAACCTACAATTTTCTCAATTTTTAAGTGGATTTAATTGCAATAAATCCACTTTAACGAAGGGTAACTTTCCTTACTTTGTTGCTGAGTGGGGGCTGTATACCCCAAATCAGGTATAATCATTTTTACTTTTGTTCTTAGTTATATTTTACTTCGTTTAGGGTAATAATTTTTAAGCGTGTAGGTTACCTTAGGTCAATTTTTAAATAAGGTTATAAAAATAAATATTCACACATTTATGTACATATTAATTTTTTTGTCTTCACTGGGATACGACTGTATACTTCATGAATTCGATTTCACAATGTAAAACTCTTAATTGAAATTGACAATGTTTGTCTTCACATACATACATAACTAAAAGCAAATAAAGTATAAACGATGTTTAAGTAAATGCATTTGAATATACTTGATTTTTTCCAGTGTAGTTTCATGCACACAGTCAATCCAAAAAGTATAGGCAACCCCAATTCAAGCTATATAAAATTGGCTATAACACTACCATGCATCATCAAATTACCATGAAATTTTGCACACATTTTGCAAATTTAATGCAGTATTCGATTATAATCCTGTCTCAGACCTAAATTAAAGAGTCACAGCGAAATTTTGATTTTAACCCAAAAGCGTCTTGTACGCCTCTCCAAAAAGTATTGGCAACATTTGGCTGAATTCAGTGTGCGAAATTATTATTGTAATCTTCATGTATGTACATTTCGTCGTGGTAAGATAATTAGATAGCCAAATATGACGTTAGCTGCTTCAGAAGTCTAGATTGGTGTTGCTTTGGGCCAAAACGTGACACTAAAATGGATATTTTTGGCAGAGCGAGAAATAGTCACGTCGCTTTTCAAAAATAAGCTTGGAGATGGAACACTTAAGCTGAAAACATACTTCGGCATATTTAATAATCAAAACATATCAAATAAGTAAAACATTAAAATTCTGGTTGCTTGTTTTCAACGATTTGGCTGAAAAAAATCATCTGTCCCTATTATTGATAGAGTAATTAACAAAGAAGTTCGTCGACACAGTAGGATTTCATCTCCAAAACTCAACTGGATTTTGAGAACCAACTATGGAGTCAAGAAATAAAACAATACGGTGAACAGTCAAATTCATGCCATGGAGTTTAAGGGTCAAGTAACCCAATGGACGCGTGGGCCCCCAAACGAAATTAAATAAGGCAATTAGAATTGGCTAAATACCGTTAACTGTAAGTTTTTGATGGATGAAAAGAGTCTGCTGGTCTCACAGAAGCTCCATTTGCTTATTCCGATTGTATTCGATGGTTCAAGTCTAACTGATGCATAGTTAGGATCAAAAAAAACGAATGCTTGCATCCCGATTACGGTTTGGGGTAAAATGTCCAGGTCGGCGTGTAGTAAACTAACGTGTAGTAAAGTAACGCCTAAATTATGACCAATCAGGGATATTTAAGAATTCCAAACGAAAATCTGATGTGATCTGTTAAACAAACTGAACCAGGAAGGAGCTTTGTATTCCAATAATTTACTGACGCCAAGCAGGTAACCAAATTAAAGGCGAGATTTTTGGACACCGAATAGGTTAAGCTTCTTCCGTTGTCTGCACAGTCTCCGGACATGAATCTGATTGTTTCGGTTGAGTTAAGAGTATCTGGCACTCTCTGGTAGAAAACAATTCGTAAAGAATCAAGCTGGTCAAAGTTTTGAAATATTAGTGGGAAATCATATCGAAGAGACCCTAGTGGAGTAAATTCCAAGGCGTGTTTCTGCTCCTACTGCATCGCGGTTAGTTGCTACGTGGTACTAGAGGCAGATTGTCGAAACAAAATTGCAATTTCTTTCTTTTACGATTTTTTATTAAAAGGTGCCAATACTTTTTGTTGGTTAGTTTTGTAAGTTTTCCAACAAATTATTTAAAAACTGCGATTATCTAATTTTAATTAATAAAACAATCGAATACTACATTAAACTCGTAAAATGTATGCAAGATTTCATGCTAGTTTGATAATGCATGCCAATGTTATAGCCAATTTTATTTATTTAGCTTGTACGGGGGTTGCCTATACTTCTTGGATTGACTGTACCTTTACATATAAACATTCTCGTATTTACGTATGCATATACACATATGCACTAACGCCAGGATATCAGCCGGATGAACTTGTTCGATATATGAGACCAATGTAATAAGGGGACGTCCATAAATTATGTTATTGATAAATCGCGATTTTTTAGACCCCCTCCTCCACCTCCCCCTTTTAACATGTGTCAGATAGTCACGAGAGCATTAGGCCAATCCTCTCTGGTGTCAAATAATTTATGAACGGCCCCCAAGCTAGAAGAAATTCGGTGGTCACCACATGAATTAATAAATAGCATGCGAGAAGTGAAGATGAAGTCAGCCAACATCGCAAAAAAAAATATGGCATAATAATTATATGTTGTTATTTTCTAGTGGTGTCGTGACTAACACAGATTTCCACATACTGGACGTTTATTATGTAAGCATACATATTTATAAAGTAAAGATTTCACTCTTGCTGCTAACCTTAGGTATCATGTGCTACATAATTTACTGCGTAGTTTCTAACATTTTAGTTTATTTTACAATTACTCGCCTTCAAGTTTCACGTTTCACGTTGACAAATTTTAAAATAATACTCCTTCCAGGAAATGTGCGATCCTAACGCCATGGGTCACGACGACTCTTGTGTAGAATCACTAACATCCTGGTTTGACTATCTCTCGTTGGAATCTTTTCTTGGATTTGGGTGGTTCGGTTATGTTTTTAAAGGGGTAATCTTTGAATTTTTGATTTTTACACATATTGAGCCAAGCAAAATTTTAGGCGCGGAATTAATTGTGAATTTGTGACCATTAGTGAGTAGTGAATTTAAAAATTTGTGTCCTGTAACCCACCCGAAAGGGGATAATGTAATTGTGTTGAAATATGTGGCCATGTGATGCAGGCCTTCTTACATATGTATGCATCGCTCCTCGCTTATTTATATTAGCCGAATTGTTATAAATATTATGTAGACTAGTATATTTTTATTTTGGCGTAAAAGTAAACCTAAATTTTGAACACGAATTAAATAATTTGAACGTCTAAATGAAAACATACTAGTGTTAAATAATATAATAATTCGGCTAATATATGTAATCGCGGCGTGATGCCTAAGTGAGAAGACTAAATCATTCATCTATGGTCATAGTGGCTACCCGTCGTTTTCTCCATATTATAGGATTCTGATCCTGTCACATAATAACTTACGCTTGGTTGCTATTGTGGTGAATAGAAATTAACCGGATGGATTCATATTTAAAATTGGCCCGCTTTAAGTCTAAGGTACACCCACTCTGAGATAATTAAAAAAGTGCCTTATCAAACTCCGTTTCACGCTACTTGAGTTCATCACATGGAGTACATTAGCCGAATTATCCTATTATTTGACACCAGCTTATTTCATTTTTGGCGTAAAATTCATTCAATTATCCAAATTCTTGACACAAATTGAATAATTTAAACGCAAAATCAACTAAACTGGTGTTAAATAATAGGATAATTCGGCTGATTCGGCTAATGTAATCGAAGTTGGGGATTAATTAGAAGGCCTCCATGCCACGGCACTTGCCCTTCATCTCACTCACGTGCTCCACAGGACGAGCAAGAGCGGAAGATTTTTTATCCGGTTGACTTCGATTCATCATAATATTAACTACACCAACAACTTACTTGTACTATATTTTAGATAAGTGGACAGGCCAACCTTTCCGCCGTGAAAGTCATCTTTATCGACGCCATCGGAAACCTATTAGACGACGAAGACGACAAAGTTCGCCTCTCCCGAGAATACAAACTTATGAGAGGAAAGAAACACGACAATTTGGTTGAAATATTAAAAGCAACAGACACACCTTTCACTGAAGAAGATGTCATTGTCCTGCGAAATATTAGATGTCTTCAGAGCAATGACGACGTTCTTGATCAACTTCACTCGCTATCGTTGCGAGCACAACGAAAAAAACAAATTCCTACCCTCTGCATCCAAATGGAGTTATGCGGTAAGACGTTGCGTCACTGGTTAACTAGAAATAATGAGATTGACAATCCGGAATTACACCCAGCTCGAAAGCGTATAGTTATCGACATGTATGAAGGGCTAAAATACCTGCACAACAATAAAATCATGCATCGGGATTTTCGCCCAGAAAATATTATGTTTTCCTTCTCATCAACAGCGGAAGAGTTCACATTTCCCGTTAAAGTGGGAGATTTTGGGCTATGTCGAAACGTCCATGGGGAACAGACTGTCACCAAAACCCTAACCTGTTTTGTGGGAAGTGTCACTTATCGTGCTCCAGAAACTAATTTCTCTGATTACAGCATCTCCGCAGATTTGTATTCGTTTGGTTTAGTATCTTGGGAAGTTCTCCAGATAATTAAGCAGAAGGATACGAGATCAATGTTCCACAGGCTGGTGCATGACGCAGAAACTAATCTAATTAAGGGCTCAGATTGGTGGTTTCGAAATTGGACAAATATTATAGTTAATATTACTAAGAGACGCGTTCAAGACAGAATTAAAGGACATTACGAAATATTGATAGTCGACCCACTCAAATCTGATTTTACTGTAGACTCACATGAGCAATTATCTGCAATCAAAGACTACTTGGTGGCGGGGGATATCGTAAATATTAACATTAAGGACGAGACAAGCCAGTTTTACGATTTTAATGTGGATAATGCTACTTTTAATGGGATTACTAAACCAAGCCTTCGTCATTTAAGATTAGAAATTGTGGGAAATTTGTGTACAATTAGTAATCTGAATCTGGAATCTTTGTGTGTTCAGGGTAGCAATAATATAGTCAAAAACATAACTTGTGATTTTGTGGATGTTATAGGAGATGAAAATCAACTGAGTAACATTACAACTTGTCACCCCGAAGGCCCCGGCCGCCGCGTAAGGTTCGGAATTATTATACACGGAAACAAAAATGTTTTAACATCGTTTAATTGTTACAATGTCTCCCCTACCGAGGTGACAAATCATGTGCATTACACTGATCCAGATGATTTGTATGCATTTGTCCAACAATACGGCTCACTATGTCTTTATGTGTCACACTTTAATCAGTCATGTACAATTGATAAGGCTACTTTTCGCAATGGGTTGATTGAAGGAACGAGACATATTTTGAAGGATATTAAGTGCAATAATGCTATTCAGATTAGTGGGAAAGACCATACTGTAGAGGACCTAGAAGCCCTCAATCTCATTGATGGTTGGACAAAAACCGAGTTGAGCACGACAAAAGTGTAGCCTTGTGTAAGAATGTGATCACGAAAAAATACACTAAAAATACCAAAAGTAGTTAAGATTTACTGAGATTTAAATGTAATATGTGCGAAAAATGAATGAGTGTGTACCCACAAATATGTCTCGGCTGAGGGCAACATGTCAGCAATTTACATACATTAGGTGTAACACGTGACAATGGGGGAGATTAGGTATCAAAGGTCGGTATTTTATGCCCGACATAACTTACGGACGTCCCACTAACAGGGAAATAAATTTATATCACACTAATGTGTGGCAATAAGTCTATATATGTATGTATGTATACCAATGTGTACAAATGCTATGTAATGTACGTGTTTATATCTTCCAAGGGATCCTAACTCAATGCAATAACATATACAAATATAAAACCTGCTCATTAAGTGGCACCTGTGTAAAGTTAAAATAATTAATGCAGCAGAGCAGAGTGCAGTTCCTTTACATAGGTGGCATAGGCGTCCACTTTTCATTCTCGTCTATCTTATTAACATGTGCTGTTTGTGGCGGTGCGTAGTGACAAACTGGTGATGTTGAGATTAATGAGTGATGATGACATGTGGCGATAGTGAAGTTGTTTACATCACGTGACTTGCATTCTCACAGAACAAAGAGCCATATTACTCCCTCTGGATATATTTATAACTCTATGATATCTTCTCAGCGTACTTGACAGTGCGACTGGAATTTTGTATAATTTAATAGTCTAGGATGCTGCCTGCAGTCCTCTATTGAAACACGCTCTAAATTCTTGGATGCATATAGTGTTCCATTCCGTGGTCAAAAAATGTTTTCAGACCTCTATACTGCGACGAGGTTTAGAACACACTTTTGCCCCTAACTTTGACGTTCTTTTCATAATCCGGGGATTCAAATCCAGAAAGTAGAAGGACCATTCCAAAGTGGAGATAAACTCCGGAATTTGGTTTTTTGACCGCGCTTGCATCATTTTTGCACTATGCACTGGTGCTGAGTCCCCATGCGGGTATTGGTTTGGTGATAATTTCTCCCCGGGTTGGTAATAGTTAGATTCCAAGTAGTGAGTTTTCATCACCACAACGGTATATTTTTCACAATGCGGTGTTGCCCCTTATCACGGCTCCGGTTAAGTCATATATGAACTCGGTTTGGGGATGATTCAATACCATTTTGCTAAGAGTGTAGTTATTCTTCTACGTACACGAATGTATTTCAAAATACTGTATGCAAATTTCGAAACGTTTATATGTACATACTTACAGAACCCAGATATTTAGATGACTAATAAAGAAGTAGTTTTTGCTGCAAAAATTTACAGCTTGTGAATTTTAATCAGCACGGTGTGAATTTGATAAACTTTTGATATAACTTTTGATATAACTCTCTAGCCTAATCTGGATAATTAGTCCTGTAATTTTTCTAATAAGGTTATACAAATATATATGTACATACATACATACAAATACATCTAATTAATATATATTTATTGTAAACCTTGTGTATAATTTATGGATGCTATCGATTTCACATCTAACAAGGTTTTCAACATTTTCAAAATGTTGTTCGTGAATTCAACAAAATTTGAATCGATTAAACTTGTAGGTAATTAAAAATGTTTGACTTCATTTATGTATAGTAAATAAAGTATAGCCCATGGATGTGTAAGTATGTAGATACATATGAGTATGTCTGATTTTTTATTGCTTACCCAGCACTTACACTTTCCTACATGATAACAATCTCACATTTGTATATATTTAGTACATATATTTGTGAACACGCCAGGATATGTGGGCATAATTGTCGCACTGATATTCATAGGATATAAAACCACGCAATAAGGGGACGTTCATAAAGTATGTGACGCCAAAATCGCGATTTTCTAGACCCCCTCCCCCCTCTCCCCCTTATAACATGTGTCAGGTAGTCACGATAACATGGATCATTAAACCTATCCCCGCTGGCCTTACATAATTTATGAACGGCCCTACTGTAGACAGCACATGAATAATAAATAATATGCCGAGACGTGAAGATCATGTCACATCGCAAATAATACATAGTCGGACCAGGATGGCCCGTACAAGAATTTGTAATGATACACTGTAAATAATCTGGTAATAAACATTACCGTAAAGTATATTTATGACTCTGCCAAAGTGATAGTGTAAAGCTGTACCGTGGGGTAATGGCCTGGTAATAAAGTTTACTATCATGGTAACGATTTTTTACCACATGGTAAAACATTATTACCAAATTTATTACCGAGAAATCATTACCTGCGTGACTTTACCGGAATATTATAAGTGATATATATATATATATATATATCACAAAATATGTATTGCAGCTATTTATTCGAAATTTTTATGAATGAACAAGGTAATAAATAATATTATTTGGAAATAATTAGTTCTTTTTCAAAATTTCCTCCACGGGCCTATACCGAAGACATATGTATATAAGTCGTAGAGGAGAATTGGGCCCTATTCTTTGTTGTTATTTTCCAGTGGCAAATAGGTCAGCGACTAACACGTACACGAACTGCACATTTATGTGGACATACTATGTATAAAGTGAAGAACTCGGTCTTGTTGCTAACCTAACGTCATATATAACGTCCTTAATTTGTCATATGTAAGGATGCCAATTTACTTCGTAGTTTATTGCAATTTGTTTATCCGACAATTATTGGTGTTCCAGTTTGTTTCACGTTAACAAATTTTTGGGGTAATATTCCTTCACAGAAAATGGGTGATATTGACCCAATAGGTCACGACTCTTGTGTTGAATCACTTACATCCTGGTTTGATTATCTCTCATTGGAATCTTTTCTTGGATATGGGTCGTTCGGTTACGTTTTCCAGGGGGTAATTTTGATTTTTATACATATTGGGAAAGAAAAATTTTAGACACGGAATTAATTATGAGACGTGAAAAAGTTGTCAAATTCCTAGTCACAATTTGTGTTCAGAATTTATCTCCACAATTGAATACCTTAGTGGTGCATTCATTCTGTCATGTGTGCAACTATTTAATAACTATGTAGTTGCAACTACCTAATTAAACAAATTAATTCTTTGGCTTGCGATTTAGGTCAGTGGACAGGTCAACCTTTCCGCCGTTAAGATCATATTCACCGACGCACTAGGAAACCTGGTAGGAGACGAAACCGATAAACTTCGTCTCTCCCGGGAATACAAACTAATGAGAGGAAAGAAACACGACAATTTGGTTGAAATATTAAAAGCAACAGACACACCTTTCACGGAAGAAGATGTTAATATCCTGCGAAATATTAGATGTCTCCAAAATAATGAAGACGTTTTGGATCAACTTTACTCCTTGTCGCGTCGAGCACACCGGAAAACACAAATTCCCACCCTCTGCATCCAAATGGAGTTATGCGGTAAGACGTTGCGTCACTGGTTGACCAGAAATAATGAGGTTGACAACCCAGAATTACACCCAATTCGAAAGCGCATAGTTCTCGACATGTATGAAGGGCTAAAATACCTGCACAACAATAAAATCATGCATCGGGACTTTCGCCCAGAAAATATTATGTTCTCCTTCTCACCAACCGGGGAGGAGTTCGCATTTCCCGTGAAAGTGGGAGATTTCGGACTTTGCCGAAAAGTCCACGATGAACACACTGTCACCAAAACCCTAACTTGTTTTGTGGGCAGTGTCACGTATCGTGCTCCAGAAACTAGTTTGTCTGATTACAGCATTCCCGCAGATTTATACTCGTTTGGTTTAGTATCTTGGGAAGTTCTCCAGCTAATTAAGCAGAAGGATACGAGATCAATGTTCCACATGCTGGTGCAAGATTCAAAGAAAAGTCTTGTTAAAAGGGCAGACTGGTGGTTTCGAAAGTGGAAAGACATGATTATTAAACTCACTAAGCGACTCGTTAAGGACAGAATTAGGGGACATGATGAAATATGGTTAATCGACGGTCATAAACAGGAGTTTACTGTAGAATCACATGAACAATGCTCTTCTGTCAAAGATTTCTTGGAGCCAGGTGACGTTGTAAACATTAATATAAAAGAGAATAAAAAAGAGGGAATACAGACTTGTTGCAGCATTGCAGTGGATAATATTACTTTTAATTATAATTAATATATATATATATATATATGTACGTTATATATTTATAATTATATTTAATTATTAAGGGGTGGAACCCCTTTATAAGAATGTTATGTCCGTCTGTCTGTCCGTCTGTCTGTCTGTGCGTCTGTGTGTCTGTCCGTCCGTCTGTCCGCATGATAACTTTTGAACGAATGCGAATTTCTCGGAACGGTTTTTTGCAAACTACACCTAAGGTCAATAGCTCGGATGAGTTCGAAGATGGGCATTGTAGATACCCGGGAACCCTGTCAAAACACCCGGGTAACATGCAAAACAACCGAATTTTCGGATTTTCAAGGTTTTTGACAGTTTTGAAGACGGGGAATCCGAATCCAATCACCATTTTGACATCAGACGATTCCTTCCGTGTCAAAACACCCGGGTAACATGCAAAAAACCGAATTTTCGGATTTTCGTGGAATCATTATTCTGCCGTTTCACCCCTTGGTTACATTCGTTGTAACGGTTTATTTTATTACTTAATTAATATTACTTTAATATTACTCGGGGTTAATATTTCCACCCATCAGCATTTGAGCTTGGATATTACTGCAAATGTCTGTAGATTTTCTAATCTTAATTTGGAATATACTAATATATTAATTTGCACATATCGGGTAGAAATTGTCTTGTGAATAACGTAATTAGTGGTTACGTGTATGTTAGAGGGGAAGGAAGTCAATTAAGTAACGTTCGGGATTGCTATAGTGGGGCAAAATATTGCTTTTAAGTCGGTCAAATGTTGCAATGTGCCGGGATCCAATCTAAATATGTTGACATTTGGCCCACCGAGCAGCGATGAGCGAGCTTTTGTCGAACGACACGGCCCGTGGTGCGTTTTCTTTACAGGATCAAGCAAATCATGTACAATTGACAATGCTACTTTGCACAAAGCACTCATCGGGGGTACCGGGCACAGGTTGAAGAACATTAAGTGCTACGACGCTATGCAGATTGATGGGGATGATCATAGCACAGAGAATTTGGATGCCATTAATCTAGTTGATAATTCGACAAAAAGAGTAAATGAGCATGATATCAGTGTAGATTTTGAGGCAAAATAGTGCGTTTCGGTAGATGTATGCAGGGATTTATGGAGTTAGATTTACATAACTTGCGATATATGAAAGTGCATTGTTAATTTGCGATTTAATTTAGCTAAGCAAATTTTGGGATGAGTTACATATTCTATAGAAGTATGTAGTTATTCTTTTACGGATACAAATATATTTCAAAATACTGCATGAAAATTTCGAAACGTTTGTAAATATGTACATACTTACAGAACCCAGATATTTACATGACTAATAAAGAAATAGTTTCTGTTGCAAAAATTTTCAGCTTCTGAATTTTAATTTTCAAAACCGTGTGAATCAGAGACCTTTCATCCCCTACACATTTGATCCCCCCTCGCCCATAATTCGTACAGACAAAAATAATTAAATACACCTGTGATTTTCCAATTGTTAATCGAAAACAAAGTTTATTTCTAAAACGAAAATAAGAAAAGGCATATTTTGAATCATGGCCTAATTATATGAGTATTTTTATAATGAACTTTCCGGTTTTTACCTAAATTTATTTGAATCGAAAAAGAAAACAGGAAAATTACATTCTATACGCATCTGTAGCCTGGAGAATAAATAGCTTGTATTCATAAATCATTTGCATATGTAAATAATTTGCATCATACATAAATCACACATAAATTATTTGTATGCTCTCAGAGCATGGCAAACCGTCGACTAAACTGATCTCCACAAGTAAATATATAAGTAAATACATGTTCTCGTCTGACAACTGGTTCGGATGGACCACCTATTTACATAAGCTTATGTATTATGAACTTCAATTTTGACTTCAAGGGGACACATTAAATGTGTCTACTTCGAGTCCAAGTATGCAAATACCAACAAAGCGAACCTGATGCATTGTAAAGTCGTACGTACATATGCATGTACATGCTACACATATGCTTATATGTAACTAAAATTGAAGAATACTATCGACGTGCTCAATGTCAGACAGGTTTCTGACTTGAAGGCAAAAGCACAAAAAAAATTCAATTAACTCAACAGATCGACTAGGGACATAAATAAATATGTATGTAAATTAGAGCCAAATCCTGTCCACGATTAATGTGGGCTCCTTAAATGCTTTGATGATTATATTTAAAAGGTCGTAATATAGGCACGTCAATAATATGTAAATTGGTAAAGTGAAGATGACAAGTTTACCTTTGACAATACATGTGTAAAAAATATTTGTTCATTAATGTTGCCAATATTTACTCGCTTTGCACCGACCTCATCCCCTGGCGCCCAGTGGATGTGGTACAACTCTGGCACATTTAAATTAACAATGCAAGTCTTTTACGTGTACAACTCAGATCTGGTTGGGAATAATTTTATTTTGTTCACCACAAAAAATAAGCAAACCCGTATTTTTTCATTTTTCCTAATGCGCTAATTCGAGCGCGTGGCGCGAATTTTAAAACATTTTTCAGCCAAAACCTCGGTTTTTAAAAAATATGTAAATTTTCGAATTTTAACGCGAATCCAAAAATTCGAAAACTTGTCTCTTCAGAATGACTTAATCCAATTGTCTCGAAATTTGAATTTCAAAATTTTTTGCCAGTTCTTGAAATTCATTAAAATTGTAAACTCTTTCAAATTTTTAATCTTTCAAAAAATAGTGTATGTGGATTTTTTATAGGTCAAATAAGTCATTCTGAAGAGACATGTGTTCGAATTTTTGGATTCGCCCTAAAATTTGAAAATTTACAGATTTTTTAAAAACCGAGGTTTTGGTTGAAAAATGTTTTAAAATTCGCGCCACGCGCTTAAATTAGCGCATTAGGAAAAATGAAAAAATACGGGTATGCTTATTTTTTGTGGTGAACAAAATAAAATTAGTCCCAACCAGATCTGAGTTGTACACGTAAAAGACTTCATTTTACCCCAATCGCACCCCCTGACTATACAGGGGGTGTTTTTCGAGTGACCCCAAAAGTTGAGAGGATCCTCCCCCTGGGGTCATATGTATGATGCCGCAAACCGATTTCGATTATATCGCTCTATTCTCCGGTTATCCTGCTGACAAAAGGACACAGACAGACGAACAGACAGACAGACAGACAAAGTCTTCTCATACAGTAGCTGAAGCTACTTAATAAATTTTTAACCAGTTGGTGACAAATTTATAAGCACGTCGGTAGAGTCACATACATACGTTTACCTTTTGGTCATAATCCTAACCAAATTTCTAAGAGTGTACTGAGCCTTGGATGCCAAAATAAGGAAAAAGTTGAATTTTTTTAATTGTGCAACATGAGAGTGACAGTATATTTTATGACTACAATTTTAATGAATTGATATATGTAAATCCAACAAGTTTATCGTCGCGTTTTTAGAGAAATATGTATTTATGTATCGTCTGGTTCTGTATCGTTGGCGAGATTGAGATAAATTTTCCTCAAGCTCAATGCCGACAAATCACTTGCAATACTTGTTCTACACGCGAAATAAAAATAAGCCAAGCTTATTTGCATATTTTTATTTTAAGTATAGCCAATATTAATGCTTGTTTTTTTTCCTTGAGGGACATACATAAATAAAATAATGGTTTTTCACCTTGCTGGGTTACCTTGTGGTGTGAATGTTATAAATGTGACCCACTTCCAATCCCTCGTGGCCAGTATACATTTATCTCAATTTGTCTCTTTTTTTGCTCACAACGAAACCTTTTATCAAGCTACAACGTCATTGTTTAGCGAGTTATGTAAAAAAAACAGGCCAAAAATTAGCTCTCACGTGATACTTACCATTCGGTTGAATGGCCCCTTTAAAGGAAAAAAAATATTGGCGGTAAAGTTCACTTTTCTAAGTATTTTTCTCCACTGGACGAAAATGAGGGGTGTAGCGCGAATTTGCTCCCCAATATTTTTCTTCAAATGGGCCATTCAATGAAAATATGTGTCATGTGACTCCAAATTTTTGGCTAGATTTTTTGACATAACTCGCTATAAATTCCCGGTATAGTTTGGAACAATTTTTCAACTGTCAGTTTGTCATAATAAGTTGACCATTAAGGTAGCTCATCAAGACAAAAGTAGCACACAGTTTTTAATCATTTCACACATTGTGGGAATTCATTTAAAAATTTTAAACTGCAAATTCGCAGAGTAATTCGTTTCATTCAATTTTTTAAAAGATTAAACACAGATTAAGACAAATTTAGTAGGAGGAGATCTCAACCCCACAGAAATTTACAAAACTCATTAAACCAAACTCCATTAATGAACTAAATTTGTCCTCCAAAATTTTAAAATAAGTCAACAGAGCAAGGAAATGGTTAAAATGTGTGTTTGTTAATGAATTCGGGACTGTGCAGAAAGCATGTGATCGATTATTTCGATTTATAAGCCGGGAGGGGCGATAGGGATCAGTGCATCCTATCCTTCCCATGTTAATGATAACATGGCGCGTATTCCGGGGGGTAGGGTTAAAAATTTGCCGAAAACTGATCACATGCTTTATGCCCAGCCTCTTATCGAGTTCTACGTTGAAAGTGCACATGTTCGCCGCGAAGAATGAGTAAAATACTACATTTATTCGTGGTATCTCTTTACCTGCCATTATGGCTGCTCGCTCCCTTCCTGCTTTTGGCCTTCGCTCCGATTTACCTGGTCAGAAGTACGGTCAAATTGTTGGCATTCGTGGTAAGAGAAATTTACATATGTAGAAAATTAGAATTTTACAAAATTTTGAAAACAATTCCAGTTTAAACCCGGCTTAATTTCTATGCTTGCCCCGTTGGACAGTATGTTCGCGGCGGATGGGATGTACATCTGCCCCAAAAATACGGTCGTGGGTTGCGTGGTCCTTGACGGAATTGCGGATTCGGACAAAATCCGGGATATGTTACGGACAAATATTTTGGAAGCCAGGTGTGAAAAAGACCCAGGAAAGTTGATGTATCCCGAACTGCGGAGAAATATTACGCACTGGTTGGGATATCCGTTCTGGACCGAGTGTGAGTTGCCACGTGGTGGAATCAGCACCCATGAAGAAGGTATGTTGAACTGGCACTTGTTAAAAAATTAAATTTTATTTATGTGATGTACATATTGAATATTCTCAATCTCAGTAGGACACCGCTCTTCTCGATATGGTGAACACGTGACTGGGGTGAGGAACTAGTGCCGTAACCATTTATTTGGACATGTGTAGTTATTATTATTAATGTGATTGCAGATTAAATAGCAATATTCTACTCTTATCAATTAAAATAATTCACTGTACTACATTTACCCGGCTTGCTGATAAGATATTGCCATCATGGCAAGTTATAAGTCTCCGCACATGGTAAAAACATGTGGTTTTACTAGCCAATCACGTAAACTTATTGTAAACGTGCTGCATTTCATAAAAACAAGTAAAAAACAACCTGAGCTGTTGGACGGGACCCCCACAGACGTCGCAGCTAGAGCACTTAATATTTCAAAAAATACATTCACAAATATTTCAAAAACCGGACTGACATCACCCAAGAAAAGACCAGGTCGAACGCCAAAATTATATTTTGACGAGTTTGACAAGATATCCATTGCCAACATTATAAAGGAATTCTACAGGAATAAGTAATTCAATTTTTACAAATTTGCATGCCAATTAGTTATAAAAAATGAGGGGAATTTGTCCAATTTTAAATTATGCAAAATATAAATTCGCATAATTGGTATTTGCATAATCTTGCATAATCACAAGTTTTCCTTAGAATCGTACACACAACCTTGGTTTTGTGTGGTTCTGCACTCAGCAGTTTTTAGTACCTTGTTTCCCTCGCCGAACGCCATTCTCACTACCCGGGCATCCAATTGACAACATAATCAGGATTTTTTTAAATCAATTAACAGAATTAAGTCTCGATGAGCTGAAAAAAATTAAAGCCCAGTTGGCATTTCAACCCTACGAAAAAAACGCCCCCTTGTGGGAGCTCGTTGTGATCAAGAGGATAAAGGATGGACCACTGCCCACTTCCGCAGTCTTGTTCCGGTTTCACCACGCCCTCGCTGATGGGCACGCGGTGCTTTCACTTCTTCGGAAAATGATGAGTTTACCAAATCCGAAAATTTCGAAACAACTTGTTCCTGCCCAAGGCACAAGGAAGGGTTTTGAAGCGCTCAGAATTTTAGGAGCGCCCTACGATATTATTCAGCATGGAAAGAAGTTTGTCAATGATGCTTGGTTTATTAAAGATAAGGAGGTGAGTTAGTTTGTTTTCTGTGTTGGGTAAAATGCAGAAGAAAATTTACATAATACTTAATCCGTTGAGAAGAATGATTAACTACATACAAGAAAATTCATTAGTTCAAAATTATGAGGAGGAAATCAGTGGTTTTAATAAAACCTGAAAGAACTGAACCATCCACGGAGAAAGGTTCACGTTTTCGGCAAAAACAAACTTCAACTTTAACATTTTGATGGCATACGATATTATGCCAGCATGCAGGGCTTTCTAATTAATTAGTGAATCTAATTAATTATCTAATTAAATAGCATGATTAACCTAATTATTAATTACTTATTAACCTTAACTAGTACTACTCAAGCTAATTTTAATTACCAATTAATTAGAAAATCACTAGAGGCGGGTCATTAGTTTTCCAAATGGGTTTCGCCAAAAATACAAGCGTTTTATGAAATGCTTCAATATGATGTCACGATTTTGGACGCTTAGCTTTTTTCAGGATTTTGGACTATTTAATTATAAATAAATGTATTTTTGCCAGGGTTGGACCCAGGTCGACTATAACGCACACTATTCCACCATAGCTGCCCGAGTCCGCTTCCATTCCAGTGAATCAATCCCATTCAGCGTAATTCGTCAGGTGGGAGGGGCTCACGGGGTGTCGGGAACTGCGGTGCTGCACTCGGCCATGTTGGGGGCGGTGAGGAGGTCGTATTTTCCGAATGGGGAAGAATCCATTTCCCGCGTAACGGTGCAGACCCCACTCCTCCCCCTGTGGGGAAGGGGACGACGTCTCTTGGGAAATAATATGTAAGTCGGTATTTCATACAGGAAATCGATACCTTTAAGTATTTGCAATGCACCCCAGAGAGGAGTCGGATATCCGAATTAACCGGATTAATCCAATCCGACGAATCCGACGGTCGGATCGGATTGGATTTTTTATGCCCGACCAAATCGGATTGGATTTTTTTATGCCCGACCAAATCGGATTGGATCGGATTACAAAAAATATCAATACACTATAGAGGGAAGTAAGAAATTGGATTTAATAGGATTAGCCTAATCCGGATCGGATAGGCTCGGATTGGATCGTATTATTTTAGAATCCGCCCAAGTCGAATCGGATCTGCTTGATAATTTTGAAACTTTAGATATTACTTATTAATTAATTATGGCAAGGTCGGCTGTTCAGCCTCGAGAGGTTTCCCATGGTCCAATTATGATCGTTGAACCGAGCGCTAAAAAATCAGTAGCTAAAAACATCCATAAATTACGTAATGCGAGAGGGAGAAAGGTGAGGGGTCTAAAGGTCCAATGATGTCGTGCATATGACAAATAGTGTATTGTTAATAGTGCCCCTTGATTATGATGAGACTTATACATGTGACAAGCGTCTACTCAACTGGAAACTTAAGCTAACAAGGGAACATACCGAGGTGTCCAACGAGTTAAGGGTCGACACCTATACCAAAATGACCACAATGTATGACTTGTTAAACAAACTGAAGGAATTTCCGTGTAAAATTCACTTTCCGTCACGTTGTGACGATATTTGTGGCGAGCGCATGACCATCCGGTTGCCAGCAGGAGAGGTCGGCCACTGAACGATCAGGTCGACCACAGAGAAGTGTCATCGCTTTCACGTCGTCTTTAGAGATTTCAAATTCTTTCAAATTTTAAAAACATTTTGAAATTTTGAAGAAAGTTTTGAAATTTCAGAAATTTTGAAATTTTGAGAAATTTTTGAAATTTTTAAAAAGTTTTGAAATTTTGAAAAAATTTTGAAATTTTGAAAAAATTTTGAAATTTTGAAACAATTATGAAATTTTGAAAATAGAGGTGTGGAAGTTATTTGAAATCTCTGAAGACAACATGTCCTCTACAATTTTTTTTCAAAATTTTAATATTTCTTCAAAATTTAAAAATTGCTTCAAAATTTAAAAATTGCTTCAAAATTTCTTCAAAACGTCAAAACTTTTTCAAAATTTCTTCAAAACGTCAAAACTTTTTCAAAATTTCAAAACTTTCTCAAAATTTCTGCAAAATTTCAAAATGTTTTCAAAATTGAAAGAATTTGAAATCTCTAAAGACGACGACGCTTTGTGGTCGACCTGATCGTTCAGTGGCCGACCTCTCCCGCTGGCAACCGGATGGTCATGCGCTCGCCACAAATATCGTCACAACGTGACGAAAAGTGAATTTTACACGGAAATTCATTCAGTTTGTTTAACAAGTCATGTATTGTGGTCATTTTGGTATAGGTGTCGACCCTTAACTCGTTGGACACCTCGGTATGTTCCCTTGTAAGCCTTTCGCCATTTAAAGACGCCTCCAGCCACCACCAGTGTTCATTCCTTGCCAAAAATTGAAATTATGTATCCTTCAATTTCAGCACGTTTGGAACATACTCGGCCCACGTGGGGGAACGTGACGTGGTAAAACGTCTCATTGAAACGCACGAAGGTCTCGTCGCCATGAAAAGATCGGCCTGTCCGGTAGCGGTGTCTGTACACGCATGCTCCCTGGGTTGCTTGCCTCGACCCGGGTTAAGGAGGTTTTTCAGGGGCAGGGATCAAGAAGAAGAAATTTTCGTCTACAACATACCCACTCCGGAAGAAGTTGATAATTTTTGCGGGTATAAAATGAAAGAGGTCGACATGACGGTGGGATCGTATGCGGGGAATGCAGGTTAGCATTAAGGTTCCCTGGTATGCAGGTGTTGAATTTGAATTTTTGTGTCTCAACCTTCCCTTCATTCATGTATTCAAGTAATGATTTTGAAACATGTTAATTTCCGGGGGTTTTTACGAAATGAAAATTCTATGGCTTCGGGAAGTTGATAATTGATAAAGTTGAAAAGTTAGGAGGACTGAAGTTTGATTTTTCAAAATTGTTGATAATTTTTTCAAGATTTTTTGCAAAATCGAAATTTACTCAGTTTAACAATTATCGGTTTTCAAATAGAATAATATGTAAATTAGCAAAATTCATATTAGGGTTCCATTGTATGCGGGTTTAGCATTTTCTGTATAAACTACATCTCTAGTTCCATCTAGTCAAAACGCGGAGTTGCAAAGTTACATATGTATATGTACCAGGTTTGATTTTCTCACATGATTTTTTGAATTTTTTAAAATCAAAATTCCAACTTCCTAACTTTGTAAATTTTTGAATTACCAATTTTTCAATCCACTAAAATCTTCAATTCGTAATAAAAAAACGCAGAGATGAACACGTTACAAAATTCGCATTTTAATATATGAACCAAGGAAAAGCAGAAACTCAAGATCAAATTTAAGTTCAAGCCCTGCGTACAAGGGAACCTTAACCTTTTTACCTGCTCAGTTCACGTGTAATTGAAGTACGCTTTTTTAAAAAGGTCTCGCGATTAGTTTTATCACCGCTGGAGGCAACTTGAGAATTGGCGTGCTCGGTGATGAAAACGTTCTCTATGGGATGGATCGGGAAAAAGAGATGATTCAAAATTTTATGGAGGAGTTAGAAGCGCTAAAGAATGCGATGCCATTATCATTGCCAAACATACTCATCAAATGAATAATAGTACTAATTCCATAGGAAAATTTATTGTGTATGTAGAATAGTGTACATTTAGGCGAAGGTAGATAGGAACCAATAAATAAATAAATCTTTGCAAAACCTGTACATTGGTAGATAGTTCTATTTGCAAATTTCATCGTAATTATATTTGTGATCGATTGACGCTAGTTTGGTCCAAATCTGTGAGCATACGTTGGGAGATCTCCATTGGAAGTACATATTTATGTCATTCCGTTTTCTACATTGGAGATATTTGAATTCAAAGTTTTCATAAAAGTCAGTGCCAAAAACGTATGTACATATTTAGCACTTCGAAACCTTGAACCCTTGACGCTTCCATTTAGAATGACTGCTTAGAAAGGTAAAAAAAACTCGGATCTACAACCACCTTGTATGTATATGTGTATCTTACTGCTTCTCAAACAAAACTGGTCTTTATTTACTAAATGCCTTGATTTTACGCGTCTACATACATACTAAACCTGAATAACAATTTGACGCAAAAACTATTTACATAAATGCACATGTCAAGCAAGTTTTTCATCAATCTTCCTAAAACAAACAGTGCAAAAATCAAGCAACTTAACACAGACTAGAGTTAATATGGACTTGTGGAGAACTCAGGGATTCAAGAAGGACAAAAAATCGCATAATTTTCATAATGCAAAAGTTCGAAAGCTGTGCATAAGTACATATGTACATAATTTTGAATGGTGGAAATTCTCATTTTTGCCAACTTCGCCATTATATAAATTCTGCACAAGTGTCTCACTAATATTTTCCATAAATTAAATTTGATATAAAAATATTGTTCTGTGGTTTGTGTTTAAGTAGTTTCTTAATTTTTTAGTCATGATTTTAAGAAGATCGGTGAGAAACATGGGCATGGTCAGCATGATAAAATTTTCAATACTTATGTACCTACAGTGTAAAGCTGATCGAATTGCAGAAAATCCCCTCCCCCCAATAGCCTCCGCCCAATGGCCTCCGAGTAATGACCTCCGCCCAATAGCATCCTGAGGAAATTGGCCTCCCGTACCAATGGCCTCCCAACCAATATCCTCCCAACCAATCTCCTCCCAGGCCAATCGCCTCCCACCCAATATCCTCCCATGATAAATACACGCATTGTTTTTTAATACTTAACTTATCCAAATCTTAATTGTGTCATCATCACTATTTAGTCATCTGCGAGAGAGCGTTATTGTTTTCATCACTAATATGTAAAAGTACATATATATATTAAGTATGCAAGCCTGAACGTTGTTCTTTATTCAACATAAAACATTGAAGTATTTATAAAGTAGTATTTATAAAGTATTTATGAAGTATTTAGTAAAATATTAAGTATGTATATATGTCATGGCGATGGAAATATAGTATAAATACATTCTTAACGTCACTAAATAATCCAATATTAATCATTTTACCTTACGCATGCAAACGAGTGTTAAAATCTCCAATTTATTTGTTCTTATCACTAATATGTAAAAGTATATATCTCTACTCACTATCATCCAGCATTCATCACTTTTACTTGTACGCAAACGAGAGTAAAAGTACAGTGTCGTTTGCATGCGTGCAGGTAAAAGTGATGAATGATGGTGACCAGAAATACGTACTTTTACATATTGGTGATGAGAACAAAGAAACTGGAGATTTTTACACTGGTATGCGTACATTGTTTTCATCACTAATTTATAAAAGTATATATATATTAAGTATGTATATATATATGTATGTATATATATATACATACTTAATATATATATGTACTTTTACATATTAGTGATGAAAACAATAACGCTCTCTCGCTGATGACTAAATAGTGATGATGACACAATTAAGATTTGGATAAGTTAAGTATTAAAAAACAATGCGTGTATTTATCATGGGAGGATATTGGGTGGGAGGCGATTGGCCTGGGAGGAGATTGGTTGGGAGGATATTGGTTGGGAGGCCATTGGTACGGGAGGCCATTGGTACGGGAGGCCAATTTCCTCAGGAGGCTATTGGGCGGAGGTCATTACTCGGAGGCCATTGGGCGGAGGCTATTGGGGGGAGGCCATCATCCGTAAGCCAAGCTGATCAACTTTGAAAGACATTTTGGTAATCTTGGTGCTCAAAACTGGTTTCGATGATGACCTACCTTAATTTTAGGTGTCCACTTTACATACGTCAATTTCAATATGTATGTATGAAAACAAACACAGTTCACTTGGTACATATGTGCATACCTATGTATATTATAATTGCTTTCTTTAGGCTGAGGAATAATTCGGCTTAACAACTACTTATGTATGCTTTAATTATCCAGTTTTAATCTAGATGATCATCAATATAGATACATACCGTAAAACCTCTATTTATTGCCGGGGCTAAAATCCAAAATTGAGGGTGACAGACCCGGCTATAATTGGAGACCGGCTATAAATCGAGACCCGGCTAAATTGTATTTTGGTTATAATTTGGATTTCAAATTTCAAATTTTTAAACAATATAAGTTAATTCCAGCACACAACCTGAGTACTGATTTTCCAGTTTTCTTAGTTAACAAAACATCCTATAAGTACACCGTGGATTCGCTAAGGCTGAGGGGCTAGGAATACAGAGGCGTTATGGGAAGTGATAATTAGGGACCTGGCCACAATTAGAGACCCGGCTAAAATTTAGAAATCTTTGTCTCTAGACCCGGCTATATTTGGAGACCGGATATAATTAGAATAGGGCTATAAATAGAGGTTTTACGGTAAATACATATATATGTTTAAGTACATCATTGATTGACAATAATGAAGGAAAAGATGCTTCATATGTAAATACACTTATTAAAAATTGACCAATTGAGCTAATCCTGCTTGGGCAGGTTTGGCTATAGGTCCTCGAGCAGGGTTGGGCACATAGATCGGAGTACTCCGGGCTTGGAGTACGTAGTCCGGCCTCCGGAGGCCGGAGTACGCGACTTTTTCCGGAGGCCGGAGTACGCGTGGCTGGCCGGAGGTCGGAGTACGCAAAATATCCGATCTATGGTTGGGCAATACCAGGATAATTCGTAATCTGAAATATACAGTAAGCCAATCAGAAATTGAAAATTTTAAATAATCCGAAATCTATAAGCAAATACTCAAACCATATTGTATACAAGTTAGGGTGTTACTTTTCAATTGTTAGTGCCACACTTTAATGTATGCGGATCTGCTACAAACCACAAATTTTTGTAATCCGGAATATGGAAACCAACAAGCCAATACATATACATATGAAAATAATCTAAAATGTAATCTAACAAGGGAAGGTCCCCGACTGCTTATCAGGTCCAGGGTACCCACTATGTCTTTTTGGAATCTACTAGGACCCCAAATGAAGGATTTCATTCATATTTCCGTGTAAAACTCATATTTAGCACCATGGCGTGACGCTAAACTAAAAAATTTAGAATGCATTTTCGACCAATTTCAATCCCTCATAACTTTTGTAGTTTACATATGTCGGATTTTCAAAATTTTATGCTTAAAATATTAACAAAAGTAGAAATTTTTGAGAAAAAATTCAAATAAAAAATTTCTAATTCTTGAGATATTTTTAGCATTTTTTCGACGAACCCCCATTTCTTAGAAAATTAGGAAATTTGTGAAAAGTTAAAAGCGATAATTTTGGAAAAAATTTCATGGAATACGAAGGTTGAACTCTTTGTCATGATTTTTGCCAAATTTTTTTAAAATCCGTCTATGATTTCAAAAGTTATGGAGGTTTCAAAAATAAAAACATTCAAATTTGGTGAATTTGGCGCCACGGCACGACGCAAAATATGAGTTTTACACGGAAATATGAATGAATCTTTCATTTTGGGTCGTAGTAGATTCTAAAAAAAAAAAAAAAATAGTAGGTACCCTGGACACGATAAGCAGTCTGGGACAGTCCTTTGTAAGCAAAGTAATCCCAGGAAAATGTGTTAATCAATTTTTTCATATAGTCCGCGACAAAAGGTTAAAGGCACCCTGCGTCATGATGATATCTCTTGACCCCATGAACCACGGTCAACGAATTGTATTTTATTTTGTAGCTAACTAATGTAAACAATTAAATAATACTTAAAATCTACCAATTTAATTCATACAAAGCGAAAATCAGGCAAATTTGAAAAATCGGAAAATTCATGCTCGCCAAAAGGTTAAAGGCACTTCGTCAAAAGCACACAAATCACTTTTTAACGAATAATTTTGTGATGCTCCGTTCCACTATGATTCGAGATGACTTCAAACGTCTATTTGGAAAAGATTTAAACCGTTTAGTTATCTCAGATTGACCTATTTTTCGCCATACCTTGACAATAGCTTTCTTCAGGTCATTTACGGTCTTAAACTGCTTACCACTTCTATGCTAATGTTCTCCGGGGATTCTCCATGATGCATTGACCAGGTGACTTTACAGAATCCAAAATCCTTATATTTGTCGCAGAAAACAAGTCTTTCCTTGGCTTGGATATGGAGATGCTATCGTTTTCTTGTTCAAAAATCCACACTGGATCAACCAAACCCAACTGCTTTCTTTGATCGAAATATGTGTTTTTCAACATTGCGTAGAAGTGTCTGGATCAATTTCTTTGATTTAGAAAGCTGTGACATTTTTTGCTTGGATCTAATTCCCACCTATACTATCACGCACCCCTCATCGCATTGGACGTTTTGAAAGCATGATTTCATGTTTGCGAAGATCACGCCAGTAGCTGGTAACGCTAGTTTGGTGTTCTTGTTCGAAATTTTTAAGAAGAAAACTCCAGCATCCACATATCGAAGCCAAGGAAAGATTTGTTTTCAGCGAGAAAAATAAGGATTTTGGATTACCCTGTAAGTCACTTGACCAATGCATCATGGAGAATCCCTGGGGAACATTAGCATAGAAATCTTAAGCAGTTTAACACCGAGAATGACCTAAAGAAAGCTACTATCAAGGTATGACGAAAAATAGCTCAATCTGAGATAATCAGGCGGTTTAAATCTTTTCCAAATAGACGTTTGAAGTCATTTTGAATCATGGTGGAACGGAGCATTACTAAATAATTTTTTAAAAAGTGATTTGTATGCTTTTGACGAAGTGCCTTTAACCTTTTGGCGAGCATGAATTTTCCGATTTTTGAAATTTATCTCATTTTCCCCTTGTACGAATTAAATTGGTAGATTTTAAGTATTGTTTAATTGTTTACATTAGTTAGCTACTAAATAAAATACAATTCGTTGACCGTGGTTCATGGGGTCAAGGGATATCATCATGACGCAGGGCGCCTTTAACCTTTTGTCGCGGAGTATAATCCATCGAAATTCTTGGGATTGCCCATCCCTGGCTTTAGGTACTCTAGATATACATCATTCTAAATTGCTTGAAACTATGCACCTATAACTTTTGGCAGTCAAAACAATCAACAACAAAAGATTAGAATTTCCATTCAATTGTCAATACGACATATGTGCATTTTGTGAATAAGTACCTGGACCAAATCCTGTACACATGTTTATGTGCATGCATAATTTGTTATTTACAAGTTTTGAGTGAAAAAGTCGTCTCGACAAGGTACCCTGTCTGGTTATGCTATTTACATTAAACTCTTAAAAATAATGTTACCCTTTTGAAAAGTAAATCCACTCTGGATTAAGCAAGCCATACTAAATTCAGAGTAACGTTAATCCGACAAAGGCAAAACTTGCCCTGAATTTAGCAGAGTTCGCTTAATAAATACTAACATTCAACGTGCATTTACTTACTTAGCACAAATTTGTAACACTATTGTTAAGAGTGTTACCCATAAACTCTATTCTAAGTTAACTTGTAATCGTTAACATTGCGTATTTTGCGTCGAGTTAGACAAATAACATATTTAATTATACTATTTTCATCTGGATGGGTCACCTTGCATAGAAAACTTATAAATATTGGTCCTTTTCAATTCCTCGTTGCCAATCGGGTTTTTGTTTTCTTCAGACCACTCCCTTTGACCAATCCCATAAATACATATTCTCAACTTGCCTCATTTGAAATTTTACATATATCAGTCTGTCACATTTACTTGTGTCATACAGGCAATTATTAAGTGATTTACAACCTTGTCTCAACTTACCTCCGTCCTGTCCATTCAACGAATTTGGACAGGACCCAGGAAATTCAAGTCTGTCATAAGATTTTGTAGGTCTAACACTCTAAATAGTTTTGAGACAAAGCGTCACAACACAAGATATTTTATTGCCTTTTTTAGGGTAATCACTACGAAGATATTTTTTTCACCAATGGAAAATAAGTAAAAAAAAAAATAGTGTACTAAGCACACGTGAGGTCTTTATTTCTAAAAATTAAATATTTTTCCACCCGATTATGTACAGGATTTTAAAAAAATAATAATTTTTTATAATGACGTCAAGCCTGTTTGTTACACGAATTTTTGACTTATTTTCCTTTTCCCCCGTAGTAATTACCTAAAAACGGAGCAATTAAATTAAAGCAATTAAAAGCAATTAAATTAAATTTAAATTTTCTACGCGGGTGACGAGTTGTCACAAATTACTTAGAGTGCTCACTTTGTCGAAACTCGCATAATTACGGTTCTCATATTTAAATATTTTAAACAACAACCTTAAAATTTTGCCCTCGCTCAGGATCCTAAGAATGAGTAAAATACTGCATTTCTTTGCGGTATTTCTCCACATGCCGTTATGGCTGCTTGCTCCCTTCCTAATTTTGGCATTTGCTCCGATTTACCTGCTCAGAAGTGTGGTCAAATTGCTGGCATTCGTTGTAAGAAAAATTTAAGTAAGTGTACAAAATTGCAATTTTTAAAAAAATTTGAAAACAACTCCGGTTTAAACCCGACTTGATTTCCATGCTTATCGCGCTGGACGGAATGTTCGCGGCGGATGAGATGTACGTCGCTCCAAGGAACACGGTCGTGGGTTGCATGGTACTTGATGGATTTGCAAATTTGGACCTCATCCAGAAAATGTTGCGAAAAAATATTTTGGAAGCCCGGTGTGAAAAAGAGCCGGGAACGTTGATGTATCCCGAATTGCGGAGAACTATTACGCACTGGTTGGGATATCCTTTCTGGATTGAGAGTGAGTTACCTTACGGTGGAATCCGCACCTACGACAAGGGTACGTTCAGTTCAAATATGGTATACGTAAAAATGGAGATGTGCGGGTACGGAGCAGGAACCCGGGTATTTCAAATTTTGTATCCGGTAAACCCGGTTTTATAAGTTAGTTACCCGGTACCCGACATACTCGGAATTTCTTTGGGATACCTGGACCCGGCCGAGTAATTTATATGTTAAATTTTCTTACTTGCTACTTGCAAATTAGTTTCCGACCTGGTAGGTTTAGTTTCTGTACTTTACATATTTAAAAGAAAATATTTTGAAGGAATGGGTCCAAATTTGGCCAGAGCTTATGTGGAAATTCTTGAAAATCAGGTTGCATACCTCAGGTAATGTTTTCGTCATATGCAATTTCAACTTTTTTAGCTTTCAATTTTATCTAAAAACTTATAGAATTGTTGCAAACTTTCGAAAAAAACTCCACTCACTATTAAAATATAAATACCCGGCCGGGTAACACGATACCCGACAAACATTTCAGGTTGTGTTCCGGGTATTTGTTTCCCACTACTCGGGACATCTCTACATAAGATTTTGGATTATGTTTTTTTATTATTAATTGACAGAATTAAGCCTTGAAGAGCTGCGCAATTTTCAGGCCCAACTAACCTTTCAACCATACCGGAAAAATGTGCCGTTGTGGGAGGTCGTTATAATCAAGAAAATTTCGGATCAACCAAACACTTCCGCCATTTTGTTCCGGTTTCACCACGCCCTTGCCGACGGGCCCGCGATGCTTTCACTTCTCCGCGAAATGACCAGTTCACAAAATCCGACAAATCCGAAACAACTTGTTTCTGTTGAAAGAAGACGTACTGGATTTGAGGCGCTCAGGGTTTTACGAGCACCGTACGATATTATCATGCAGGAGAAGGTGTTGGGCAAAAATGATTGGCTTATCAAAGATAAGCAGGTGAGCTTAATTTCACTGGGAAAATATGTATATACATATTTAGAAAATGAATTAATTCTGGTACGTTATTTATGTATTCTTGTTGTGGTGGATACGATCAATGGTGGGAGTCAGTGGTTTGTATAATACTCGAAATTAAAAAAAAAACGAATGATCCAAAATTCAACACTTCGGAAATGTACTAATGTACATGCTTTAGGGGACAAAATTTTCAAATTTAACATTAGATTAACATGCATTGGTCCATTACATACTATATTAGGACGACAGATTTTACGGCGGGGAGAGACAATGGTCAAGATCAATGACCTTCCATTGTCAGCACAATAACCACAAATTTCTCAGAACGAGTTTATTCTTCCTCCAGAATTAAACCATTTGTTCTATGTAAATACAGGGTTAAATGTCACGCAACTATGGAAAATTTTCAAAGGGCAAAATTCGTAAATTTCCATTAGTTGCCAAGATTTTGCCTGAAATTCAGCATTTTGTGAATTTTGTCATCAGTGTTCCCTCACTTTTGAGCATAAGTAAGTGATAAAAATCTTAATCCCAAATCTTGTATCTAATAGAGATTTATGGGCTTTACTCATTCAAAAATTTTCCATTGCAGCGAGACATTTAAACAACCCTGAGAAGTATGTTAGGACTTACATAACATCGTACTAATTCTAAAAAGGCCTAAGTGCTTAATTTAAAAAATGCCTAAGTGCAGCCATCTTTTAATTTTGAAAGGCATAACTTTGAGCCTTCTTAAAATTACGCATTGGCAACACTTGGGCCTTTTTAGAATTAGTACGAGAGATGTTCCATTGGATATGTTCCATTCCACGTTGCATCGATTTTTTCTAATCAAATATAAAAATTTACAAGCAAAATTTCGGGCGCAACCATCAATGTAGCATAGCTATTTTAGAATTATATGAAACCACACCCCTTTTAAAAATTGAGGAAGGAAACTGGAAAAAATGAGAAAGCTAATGTACACTCTGTAACATAAGAATTAGACCATAAGTTGTATTTGACATTTGACTTGTCCTATGAATACGAACATTTTGATGCATCAAAAGTTTCAAAATTCGAAAATTGGCGGTTTTTTGACCTACACATAAATCGTTAAAAAACTCATGGTTCCCGCACTTTTACTTCTGACAACCTGATGCCAGATTTTTCTGCTTGAGAAGAGCTATATTTTCAGCTTTTGTTGTCCGAAGTAAAAGTGTGGGAACCAGGAGATTTTTCAGGTCAAAGTTTCTGTGGGAGGGGCTTATTTTGCAAGAGCCGTAACATACATACATGCATAGTATGGCTGCATGGAGAAAGTGAGACAAAGGGAAATGGGTTTCATACGACCCTGACTCGAAGTGGTGGTGGAAACCCACCGCGAACCACTTTTCTCACTCTGTTTCAACTTCTCCTGCGAAATATGGGAAACCGTTTTGTGGAACGCTGGGTCTGGTTTATCTCACGACGATAAATGGTTAATATTTTTTCCAGAATTGGACCCAGTGCGACTTCAGCTCGCATTATTCGACCATAGCTGCCCGACTCCGTTTCCATTCCAGTGAATCGATCCCATTCAGCGTAATTCGTCATGTGGGAGGGGCCCACGGGGTGTCGGGAACTGCGGTGCTGCATTCGGCCATGTTAGGGGCGGTGAGGAGGTCGTACTTTCCGAATGGGGAAGAATCCATTTCCCGCGTAACGGTGCAGACCCCACAACTCTCCATACTGGGAAAGGGACGACGTCTCTTGGGGAATAATGTGTAAGTAACTCGAACTTTATGGAGGGCTGAATGATTCAATGGAACCTTTCTTGAAACTACCCTGAGATTGTGCATCGAATTATATTTAAAAAAGTCAAAAATTAGAAATCTTATCTTCTCCTTGGAAGAACAATATTGGGGGCAAAGTTCAATTTTCGAGTGAATTTTCTCTCCATTTTACCTCCAAGGAGCGAAAAACAAGGCGGGCGCGTGACTTTCCCCCACAATACTAATTTTTCTTTAAATGGGCCATTCAATGGAATGATAGGCGCCACGTGATTCCTAATTTATAGCCGTATTTTATGGTATAACTCGTTAGAAAATCCCGGTGTAACTTGAAAAAAGTCCATTGTCAGTACCCACCAACCCGGACGCCGTTAAAACGTTACTTTGCCCCCATTTTGACATCTTGAAATTTTGAAACGTGTCTAACGGGAAGTTTAACCTGAACACAACCAGGGTTTCGTTTTTCCCGCCAAAAACGATTTTTTACCACGGCAGGTGGGAAAAAGTGCTAAAAACCGGGAAAAACGTTTTTTACCGTCCAAAATGGGAAAATATGGCTGCCCATGTATTTAGTTATGGGGAAAGCTAACTTCTTTAATAATCAATATTTTCGGAATTGGACTTCATGTTCGTCATCTCCACGAATTTCTGAAAATTTTGATATGTAATACGGGCACTTTTGACCAATATTGGTTGTTTTTTTCAATTTTTCCATATGAATGCATGTTAATTTTAACGATTGTTCGAATTGAGCCGTATTACACACTTATTTTCTCAGAATTTGATGGAGAATGCGAATATGAAGTCAGATTTTGAAAATCTCGAGTTTTAGAGAAGTTGTTTCGGATTGCCCCAAAATCAGAGTTTTTCCCATTTCCTCCATTTTTCCCATTTCCCACCTATTTTGGGTGGGTGGTAAAAATGCCTTTTTCCCACTTTTTCCCGCTGCCCTGGTCAATTTGGTTTTTACCAATCGAAACCCTGAACACAACCTGCATTCCAAGTAGTTTATGTTTACAAAAAATTACGTTATCCATCCATCAATTTCAGCACATTTGGATGGTACTCGGCCCACATGGGGGAACTTAATGTAGTAAAACGTCTCCATGAAACGCAAGAAGGTCTCCTCGCCATGAAGAAATCGGCCTGCCCGGTAGCGCTGGCTGTGTTCGTGCGCGCCCTGGGCAGCCTGCCTCGTCCCGGGATAAGGAAGTTTTTTCAAGGGAAGCGCCAAGATGAAAAAATTTTCGTCTATAATATACCCGCGCCGGGAGACGTTGATAATTTTTGCGGGTATAATATCAAGCATATCGACATGACGGTAGGATCGTACGCGGGGAATGCAGGTTAGCTAGATACGTATACTTATATCTAAATACCGTTACTTATATCTTATATTATTTAGGTATATCAAGGTTGCCTTGTGTGAAGTTTTTGAACCTGAATTTTTATCTCTCAAATTTCCCCGTGTCCATGTATTCAAATATTAATTTTGAAATATGTTCATCTCCTTGCATTTTTAACAAAATGGAGTTTTTATTGTATCTAAAAACGGATAATTTTGAGATTTACAAAGGTATAAGGATAGAATTTTGATTTCTGTTACATGAAAAAAAAGAAAAAAATATAAAAAAATACAGTAAAAATTAAACATTTTCTGATGCAAGAAAAATATTCAAAATCATCCTAGCTTTCCAACCTGAAAATTATAGAAGCTCTGATTCAATCAAATCAATATTTTTTAAAACAAATTCAGGAAGATTAACAACTCTCAAAATTTACATGTTCATACATGGAAGAAGAGAAAGTAGAGACATATGTAAAAATTCGCATTTAAAACCCTGCATTCAAGGGAACCGTAGTTTTAAAAAGTCAGAGTTTCACGTGTAATGAACAACCGTTTTCTTACAATGATCTCCAGGTCTCGCGATTAGTTTTATCACTGCTGGAGGTAACTTAAGAATTGGCGTGCTCGGTGACGAAAACGTTCTCTATGGGAAGGATCAAGCAAAAGAGATAATCAGTAATTTTATGGAGGAGCTGGAAGATCTAAAAAATGCGACGCCATTATCAAAAGAAATTTATTATCGAGTATAAATAAATATGGACAAATTATTAACCGGGCAAAAAAAAGTAAATAAAGCCTTTCAATTTATTTTTTCACGACAATGTGCAAACATTTCTCCCAAAATATATAATTGTTCAACATATTAAAGCCCCCTACACAGGTAGATGTTTAATATTAAACATACATTACAAGAATCGTGGAAATGTTTCTTTTGAGAGCAATGAAGTCTTTTCTACTTAAAATTTTTCAAAAATTTTAAATGCAGTTTTTTTAATTATAAATGAAACTTAAACCCATTTTCGGAGAACACTTGTAACAAAATGCAGGTATGGTGCTTCCATGCATACATTCATAAATTTATTTTGTTCGATTTTCAAAACAATTCAAACAATTGAGTAAACAAGACCGCACACAGTCATATTGTTTGATAAGGAAAATCATTATCTGTAATATTTCTGACTGGGCAAAGCTGAGTGGTGCAATAAACTTTAGAGCAACGTACATAGCACAGCCTTACATTATTTGCATTAATTAACCGACAATTAAATATTCAATTTTCACTAATGTTGCGGCATATGCAGGCTAACTGGAGGTTTACATGGTATGCAAAAGTGTGAAGTTGGGTGCAGTTACAAAGTAAATAGGTTGTCTCGCTTATCTGGCATTCCGGAGCGTATCAGGCAACCGTTTCATGTCTGCCTGGTTGTGTTATCTTCTATGTACATAGCAAAATGTTGACCATCTAATGCGCAGTTTATAATAATTTTACTCATTCTTCAACTACTCTCGTTTACGCATATTGCACGTAAAAGAATATTGAAATAACATTTCTATGCAACAAAATGGAGGCAATGGAAGTTGGTGAAGACATTTCTACAGAATCACTTACATCCTGGTTTGACTATCTCGCGTTGGAATCTTTCCTTGGATCAGGATCGTTCGGTTATGTCTTCAAGGCGGTAAGTATTGCCTGATTTTTATACATACATGCTACGATAAAAAAAATGACTTTTCTTATGCGGGAAGCCTTAGTATTAATCGCGCTTGTGAATCAGCATTTGTCACGATTATTGAATAATTAAGTCACAAATTCGAACGGCTTAATATTGTCAAATACCAACAATGGAGGTCACCCAACGTACGCGCATAGATTTGAACCAAATTAGCGTCAATCAATCACAAATATAGTTGGTACAAAATTTGCAAATGGCACCATATGCCAATGCCCAAGTTTTGCGGAAATATTTGTAAAAAAGAGGAGAAAATGTACCCGCAACGCTGGCAAATTTTTCATTTTCCAAATTTGCTGTGCATTTTTCCTGCTTTGGATGCAAATATATACCGGGTGAAAAATTTAAGGGATTTTATACATAAATTTGGCTGGTTTTTATGCAGATAATTGGCTGCATTTTATGCAGAAAAATTTATGCGGAAACAATTTGCGCAAAAGATGTGCAGAATTATGCATAATTGTGCAAAACCATTCTGCAGAATATTTATACCTGTCAGAAGTTTTATACAGAATCGTTTATACTTTTTCTGCACAAACCATTGGTCCTATGGTTAATCTAACAAAACCGCAGCATTTTTTTGGTTCGAGATTATGTGGCGCATTTCCAATGCTTATAAGCATTGGAAATTTGATTTTGAACCATTCTTTCAATTCAATTTTGAACCATTCTTTCTCCATGGATTTTAAAAATTAAACATGTTTTTGACACATTTGACCTTTGGCTACAATATATAATTTCAAATTTTGAAAATTTGATCTAGGTGACCTGAAATGAAGGTCAAAAGGTCAAAAAATGACAATATCTGCAAAGTCCTTTATGATGTGTCTTCGCAAATTTGATTCGAACTTTGTAAGTCAGACAACTCTGGGGAGTGGTAAAATATTACCCCCAGGTTATTTAAAAAATTGTGGGTGTCGCAGGGGGTGTGGAAAAATTAAATTAGGCTTAAATTACTAAGTTTTAACACCTCGGAGCGTTAGACATATCAGTGTCCAACCAGGGCCACACCCCTCAACAATGGTTACATTGCCACATTAAAATCGTTAATCCCCACCCAAAAGGGGTGTGCCCATCAGTGCCCATCAGATATGTCTAACGCTCCGAGGTGTTAAAACTTAAGTAATTTAAACATAATTTAATTTTTCCACACCCCCTGCCACACCCAAACGTTTTTGAATGATGCGGGTAATATTTTACCCCCCCCCCCCCGAGTTGTCTGACTTAAAAATTTCGAATAAAATTAGCGAAGACGCATTTTTAATGACTTTGCAAATATTGTCATGTTTGATATTGTGACCTTGGTTTCAGGTCAACTAGGTCAAATTTTAAAAATTTGAAATTATTTATTGTAGCCATATGTCCAATGTTTCCAAAACATGTTTCATTCTGAAAATCCATGGAGAATTTAAAGAATGGTTCACAATCAAAATTCCAATGCTTATAAGAATGGGCCACATCCGCCAACTAGTTTCAGCAAAATTGAATAAGAAAATGCTGCGGTTTTAATAGATTTTTCATAGCAGTTGTGTCGAATTATGTGAAATTCGACATATGTACGATTTTCATCCGGGACATCTCCGCTAAACTTGGGCATTGGCATGTGGTGCCATTTGCAAATTTTATACAAATTATATTTGTGATCGATTTACACGAGTTTGGTCCAAATCTGTGAGCATACGTTAGGAGACCTCCATTATAAGTATACCCATGACTTCATCGCAAAATATTTTAGGTCAGTGGACACGTCCACCTTTCCGCAGTTAAGGTCATATTCATCGATGCCCTCGGAAACCAGTCAGACGACGAAGCGGAGAAACTCTCGCGAGAGTACAAACTAATGAGAGGAAAGAAACACGACAATTTGGTTGAAATATTAAAAGCAACCGACACACCCTTTACTGAAGAAGATGTCAAGGTCCTGCGAAATATTAGATGTCTTCAGAACAATGACGACGTTCTTGATCAACTTTACTCACTATCGTCGCGAGCACAACGAAAAAAACAAATTCCTACCCTCTGCATCCAAATGGAGTTATGCGGTAAGACGTTGCGTCACTGGTTAACTAGAAATAATGAGATTGACAACCCTGACTTACATCCAGTTCGTCGTCGCATAGTTAAGGACATGTACGAAGGACTAAAATATCTTCACAGTAATAACATTATGCATCGGGACTTTCGCCCAGAAAATATTATGTTTTCCTTCCCGCCCACAGGGGAAGAGTTTGCATTTCCGGTTAAAGTGGGAGACTTCGGGTTGTGTCGGCAGATCCATGGGGAGCACACTAAAACTAAAACCCTGACCGCTGGTGTAGGGAATGTCACGTACCAAGCTCCAGAAACGAAATCTTCGAAATATGGCATTCCCGCAGATTTGTACTCGTTTGGTTTAGTATCGTGGGAAGTTTTCCAGCTAATTAAGCAGAAAGATACGATCTCAATGTTCGACAGGTTAGTTAATGACCACCGTATAAGCCTGGTTGAACAGGAGGACTGGTGGCTTCGGGGCTGGGGAATTGTGATTATGCGCCTTACGAAGAGACACGTGGAAGATAGGTTGACGGGACATCACAAAATATTGCTTATCGACCCTTTTAAATCCGAGTTTACTATAGAATCACATTCGCAATTGGATTATTTCACCCTTGTACCAGGCGATACCGTGAACATTAATATTAAGGACGTCTCAAGTAAATCTTACGAGTTTAGAGGGAATAATATTACCTTCAACGGGGTTACTGCTTCCAGCCATCAGCCGATTATATTGAACATTAAAGATTATTGTACAATTAATAATCTGAGGTTGAAGTCTTTACTAGTAAGTGGTAGTAATAACAATATCAGTAACTTAATTTGTGACAATGTCGAAATTATAGGAGATGGTAATCAATTACGTAACATTGAAACCATTCACAATGCGTGTGGCTACGGAATTGTTTTATTCGGGAACAATAATGTTTTAAAATCATTCCAATGTTGCACTGCCCCTACTCAAGAAATTGAAGATCGTGTATTTTGCACTTACGCAGCAGAGGTCAACGCCGACCAAATTGGCGGCGGCGGCGGCGCCAATTTTGGGGATTTTTCGGCGCGGCGCGGCGGCGCGGCGCGGCGCCTCAATGGTGAAGGGATAGGGAAATCGATTTATCGGCGGCGGCGGCGCTTAAAATTCTATCGGGGTATGGCGGCGGCGGCGCTTAAAATTCTATCGGGGTATGGCGGCGCGGCGGCGCGTAAAATTCTATCGGCGTAAGGCGGCGCGGCGGCGTGAGATCCGCGGCGTTGACCTCTGTTACGCAGCAGCTGATTATAATACAGCTTTATTGGAACCAGATTTTCACGCGTGCATTTATGTGGAAGAATGTAGCGAATCATGTACAATTGAAAATGCTAATTTACACGATGCCTATATCAGAGGAACCCGACATGTTTTGAAGAACGTTGAGTGCAAAAATTCTATTGTGATTAGTAGGAAAAACCATATAACAATTGAGGTAGAGGCCGCTAATTTCATTGATTATTCTTCAAGCAAGCAGATCCCATACGTACGACAACGTTAGCAACGTTTTTATGTCTAAGCAAGATTTCATTCGCCCCTAAAGCCGACCTAAATGAGCTCTTCTCTGTATTAAATATTAGTATCTGTAACTTGTTAGTTCAGCATCAAGTTTTATTGTCATCTTATCTTAACCAGTTCTGTTTACATTGATTAGCTCATGAATAGCTTAATCATTAGTAGTCCAGAAATACAACTTCATTGGTACATGTATGGAACGAGAACTAGTTTTTTTAATCATTAAAATGTCAAGAAATAAATTTTCACTTATTTATATATTGTCCACTAAATTACAATTTGAATAATAACTATTCTCCCAAATTGTTTGGATTTGTCAAATGTTTTGAAATTTTTCAAAGATTTTAATTTACAAATTTGTAAAACTGCATACATATGTAAATATGTATATAGCCGTGTAGTGTTTTATTGTGTATAAATTCTTGAAAACATAGAAATGTTTCTAATTTATGTCCATATACAAATGTTTGACATTGTGCAGTTTAGGTTAATTTGTACAAATTTTTGAGAACATGGATTTTTAATGTGTGCATACAAATTTCGAAAATTATTTAAACTTTTATAATAATGGCGTTTTTTTAATTGTTAAGGGTTTTATTTAAGTAGCGGAAAATCTTTAGATTGTGCAAATTATTTGAAATTTCAACAAAATTTGACAAATCAATTGAAAATCTCGCAGTGTATGTGTATGGATCCAAGGCAAGATATAGAGGTGAAGGACGGAATTATCCTAGTTACATATGTACGTATTTAGACATATTGTACAATATTTCTCCAACGATTTGCAAAACTATTTCGTTTGAACCCCAATTTCCACTACTTTTTCTAGGATAAGTTTTTGTTTTTTGAAATATCTGATATCTGTCTAGGGCATCCAAAATCGGTTTTTCCGATTTTGTAAAATCGATTAAAAACCGGGTTTCGATTTACCCGAAAACCGGTTTTCGATTTTTGATAAAAATTGTTGTAGAACTACAAAATATTAGTCATTTCTTGTTTTTCATGCAAAAATAAATTCTTCTGATATATTTTTTTCCTAATTCATGCCCAAAGTTTGATCAACTTTAAATTTTACCATGTTATATTTCACACATTTTTAGGTGTTTCACGAAAATGTAAAAAATCTGAAAAATCGAAAACCGGGTTTTCAAAATTTTCCAATTCTGGATGCCCTATATCTGTCAAATGAGGAGATTATCATTCTGTTGGAAAAAATCCAGGTGGAACAGTATACTTATAGGGTTCTCGCTTGTTAACCGAATTCAATATTTTCTCATGAAAGAAAAAAATATAAATTATACTTAACTTCATAACTTTTGAAACTTATGTATTTATATAAAAAAATATCGATTTTTTGATTCAATAAAATCTTCACTATTTAAAAGATGGACAGATTTTAAATCGCTATTTGAATGCGTGGAAGAAAGGAAAGTTGAGACACGAAAATTTAAATTCAAAACCCGTATGCAATGGATCCTTCATATAAAATCGAGAGTGCATTTACTTTAAAAAATGGTAACGGTACTATATATTAAGAGTGTGAGCATAGATATGTACATACACAAGTAAGTAAATAAATATTTTGGCAAGCAGATTCATTTCGCTATGTACATAAGCATTAGTGTGAAGTTGGCCTCTCCTTTTTTTTTTTTTAGTTTGGATGAAGTTAGCCGGCTAAGCCGAATTTATCCGAAAACTTGGCCTCCCCGCCCATTAATCCCGCCTATGTGGGGCAACATGAGATTGTGGCTACTCATGCACCGCTCAAATAACCGAGAAAAAAATCGGGGAAAATCCGACTTTTCCATAAGTTGGAAACCTGAGAAAACCGAATTTCGGATTTTAATTGCTCGAAAACGGGCGCAACTTTTGAGTTCACAATACCCGCATTTTGGAGCCATAGACCAGTGCCCAGGGGTGTGGTTATCACTAATTGAAATTCGTAGGTATAAGAAGGGACCTCTTTTTATTCCCAAATTATTTGTGTCGCCTGCGTACCCAATGAATGTGCTACTAATGTGCCTATAATACCCCACTTGGGGGCGTGGTTATTGTAATCAGAAGTTACAATAAAGATTTATTTTATGCTTCGATATATAGAATGCAAAGTTTTTTCGTCGGAAATTTTTGCGAGGATAATACCTGAAGGCACACCCACTGGGGGGTGTGGCTTTTTGTAATTGGTGGAGTCCATCGTGATCCCCATTCCAGTCCGATAAATTATTCGTGTCACAGTGCGTACTTCACTTGACTAACACCGGAAGCGCTAACGACCACACCCCTGGTGGGTGCGGATTGAATAATTTATTTTAACAATAGTCGAACTATGTGGCCTTACTGGTATGTACATATGTTGCCCTTCTACGTACACACTGGTGGTAAAACTCAGTAATGCAAATTTGGTATAATTTTTGCCCCACCTACTACCACGCCCTCAATTTTTTCGAAAACCTGGGAATCATGTTTTGCAACTGACCGGATTATGTGACTTTGGAATTATGAGCTAAATAACGATAACGTGTTTCCACCAACTTCTTTATTATCAGGCTAATGAGATTAAATTTTGAAAATTTAAACGCTTAAATTTTCAGTTTTTAAATTTCCACAACGTTTGTAATTTGAAAATCTTGACGAATGTTACGAATTGCGGGAATATTAGCGAGGAAACGCAAATCATGTAAATAAAATTGTGCAAGAAAATGCTGCGGCTTTAATATGTACATATGTAGGTGAACCATAGGTTAATTTAGGAATTTGCATACGGCCTTCCGGACATGGAGATGCTACTATCTATGTATGTTCTATTATCTCTCTATATGTTTACATGCTTGCAAACTTGCAAGCCATTCTTGTCATTAACCATCCACAATAACCGAAGAAAGTGCAATATTTGCTCAAACGCATTTTGTACTTCCTCTGATGCAGTCGTGTTTTCTATTTTCTCTCAAATTATTGGTGAGTTTGTTTCTGAAAGAAACTTTTTTTTTTCTTTCTTGGAAAGAAAAGTGGGAGCTCGGTGTGACTCCCAGTGTTGGTTAGGGGTCCGGTGTGACCCTGAGAGGTTTTGGGGGGTCCGGTGTGACCCTGAGAGGTTTTGGGGGGTCCGGTGTGACCCTGAGAGGTTTTGGGGGGTCCGGTGTGACCCTGAGAGGTTTTGGGGGGTCCGGTGTGACCCAGAGAGATGGTGGGGGTCCGGTGTGACCAGGAGAGCTGGTGGGGTGTCCGGTGTGGCCCCCAGTAGCGGTAAGAGCCCGGTGTGGCTTCGAAAGGTTGTTGTGGGGGGGATAAGGACCAAAAGGGGTGGTAGTTTCCCCGGGGGGGTGTGGGGGGTTCCCTTGGGGTGTAGGCCGTGGTTGTGGTCCAGGAAGGGAGGGGGCCAATCTCAGAGCGGGCGGTCTATGACGCCAGCCCATGAACCGAAAGGGCTTGGTGAGACTGCCTGAAATTGAGCAACGGAACCCTCCTGAACTGGCCCGCCCAGCCACCATACACTCAATGATAGGGGGTGAGAGCAGTCGTCGTCCCTTGAGAGTGGGGTTAGACCTGACCTGAGGCCTGACCTGTGGCCTTGGGTCAGGTCAATAACATAACCTGAAGTAGGCTTCCTCGTGGTGGTGGGGACTTAGGGATTTAGGGACTTTTTTTATTTTTTTGATTGGTTGGGAATTAGTTGGGTGGGGAATTAAAGTTTTCATGCACGTACTCCACTCTTAAAAATAATGTCACCCTGTGAAAACCAATTGCGTTCGGAATTCTAAAATGAGTAAATTATACTAAATCCAGACTAATCCTATTAAATTAACGTTATTCTGGATTTCGAATAGTTTATTTAATTTAGGGGTCAGAATGCTTTTACTTATCAAAATGGTAGCATTATTTTTAAGTATTAAGTATTGACTTCTCGTCAACAGTACGTGCAGTTAGAATCGTAATTAAAGTTTTAGTGCACTTATCACACTCTTAAAAACAATGTTACTCGTTTGAGAAGTTAATTCAGTCAGAATTCTAAGCTAAGTCCAGGGTAAACTTTACTCTTTATCCAGTTAACGTTACTTTGGATTTCATATATTTAGGGTTCAGAGTGCATTAACTTTTCTAAAGTACATCATTGTTTTTAAGAGTGTAGTGACTCCTCGTTCACAGTAAGTGCAATTATTTTGGTGTTAATTATGCACATTTCGATCAAATTTTGTTACTGGCCCTCGGGGTAGGACATTTGTGATAAGGAGTGAAAGTAAAATGAATTTAGCAAAAATGCATGTGTGCTTTACAACCTTAGCAAAATTAACTACCTTGCTTCTAGGTCATGCTACCATTAGAAAATTCTGAAAATACATTACAGCTTTAGAAATTTCAATAATGTGCTCACAAATTAACCTTGGAAATCACTTTTATATTACCTACATACATAAATTTGTAAATTATGCAAAATTTACCTATATTATCCTCTTGCTCACCTATTTCCTAAGCGTAACATAAAGTTTTGTATGTGTAAACTTCCTAAATTTAACAAAAATCTCACAATTTTGCAAGCATCCAACATTTGACAATGACCTTTACCGGGTTTGAAATCTGTGTTAAATTAATAAAAATCTGACATAGCTTTGTAAACTTTATAAATTCAAAAAATTGGTTCAAACTTTGTAAACTTTTTAACGCTTGTCAGTCATTGATCCTAGCTTTGTAAACTTGGTAAATTCATCAAAAATAAGTATTAGATTTGTAAACTTTGTAAATTTTAGAAAAATCTTTCCCACCTTTGTGAACTTTCTAAATTTAACAAAAATCATTCCTAGCTTTGTGAACTTTGTAAATTTTAGAACAATCTTTCCCAACTTTGTGAACTTTCTAAATTTAACAAAAATGTTTCCCAGCTTTGTACACTTGCCAAAATTAGCCAAAGTTTGGCATAGTTTGCCAAATTTAACAAATATTTATTCCCGCTTTGTACACTTTGCCAATTTAGCAAACATCTGTCCCAGCTTTGTAACCTTACTAAATATACGACAAATCCTTCCTAGGCTTGAAATCCTGCCAAAATTAGCCAAAACAAGGAATAGCTTGCAAATTAAACAAAAATTCATTCCAGCTTTGTAAACCTTGTAAATTTAGAAAAAATCTAAAAAAATTAGGTAAAATATGATATGGTTTGCCAAATTTAGCAAAAAATTATTCCAGCTTTGTAAACTTTGAAAATTTAGCAAAAATCCGTCCCAACTTTGTAAACTTTCTAAATTTAACAAAAATCTTTCCCAGCTTTGTAAACTTATTAAAATTAGCAAAAATATGTTATAGCTAGCCAAATTTAACAAAAATCACTCCCAGCTTTGTAAACTTGGGAAATTTAACAAAAATCACTCCCAGCTTTGTAAACTTGGGAAATTTAACAAAAAGCAGGTCCCATTTTTGTAAACCTTCTAACTTTAATAAAAATCCATTGCAACAGCTTTGTAAACTTTGCAAATTTGATTATCATTTTTCGTGTCTTCGTAATCTTGCTAAACTTAACAAAAATTTGTTCCGAGTTTGTAAACTGCCTAAATTTAACAATCTTTATCCAAGCTTTGTCAACTTGCGAAACTGAACATAAATCTGTAATCTGTCCAAGCTTTGCGAACTTGCTAAATTTAGTAAAAATTAATCATAGCTTCGTAAAGTTTCTAAACTTAACCAAAATTATTTGGTACTTTGTAAACTTGCTAAATTTAACCAAAATTTGTAAACTTGAATCTAACAATCATTTATCCAAGCTTTCTAAACTTTGCAAATTTAACAATCGTTTATCTAAGCTTTGTCAACTTGTTAAATTTAGTACAAATTCATGCTATTTTGGTGTCTCTTGCTTTTTCAGATTTCCGTGAACCAGACTCCCTGCATCCCTCAAGGGTCAAATCAGGAGGGTATTTAACATTCGTCACAACACCATTTGAGCAATTCACTCAACGAACTCAGAAGAAAATCTCCCAAAACACATAAGAACCCATCCGTAACCCCTGAACAAATCTGGAGCGACTTGAAACAGCCAAATCCTAAAAACCGCAGAAAACTATTTTTTACCGAAATCCAAGATTGAGAAATTTGCCTATACTGAGAAATTATTCCTTCTATCGATCCAAGTCTACACAGTATGTCGTCCTATATGAAATCCAAGAAAAATGATTTACCAAAAAGCAAATCAGACGAAGGTTCTCTTTGTGACGACGCAAATAAAATATCCCAATCCGAATATGAAGCCATGAACGAAGCAGACCCTTTGATGACACCTGGAACGGGGGTAACCGTGAGAAAATCGGATCTCCAAGAAATTGAAACTGAGGGTGTTTTGATTAGCGACCACGTCATTGATGGCTACTTAGCTATGCGTTTGAAGCAGCTCGATTTTTACAACGTTAAATACTTGCCAATAACATTTATGGTCCCATCGCTAATTCAAAATGTTCCCCAAATTAACGAAGTTGATGAGTCTGGTGCTGTCATCTACCAAGTCAATCAACAAATGATGAACAATGCAATAAGCCCAGATCTGGAATTCCTTCTTATAACCGTGTTTCGCGGCATGCACTACTTCCTAGTCAAACTGGACTTAAAAAGCAATGAAGTTCACGTGTTCGACAGTATTCCAATATCTCAAGAGCGTCTTCTATCAGTAGAGAATACAATTCGTGAAATTCTTCTGTCCGTCGAACAAGAAGTTGGAAAAAGACATTGGAAAATGTGCATTATTCAAAATACCCCTGCTCAAACAAATAGTACGGATTGCGGCCTGTACGTCCTATACAACTTTGAAGCAATCCTATGCCGAACACAGGAATTTACACCCACATTGACCTACGATGACCTTAAGGTTTTTCGAATAAAAGTAGTCAGCCACTTCGAATACTATAGGGAGGTTCATGTGAATGCGAAGAATATTGCAGATCCAACAAATTCTCCCTCCCTAGCTCAACCAATTGAAGTCCTTGAAGTTTGGCGGACTGTGGATAAGAGGGAAGATACGAAGAAGATTACATTATCCACCAAGTTTGAAAATATCGAAGTCCAACCAGCAATATTAACCTCAAGCCCCCACAGGTCCGGCTCCACATCAAATACGTCCACTGAATCTGAAAAATTAATGAAATCTGGCCCAGATTTTGACCAATCCTTGTCGCCATCCTTTGACGACAGCGGGGAAACCGTGGTAACATCGCCAAACTCACCTCCGTCTTCCAAAATCAATGCTAGCTTGTCTACACTAGCGAAATTAACTCCAATATCTGGTACATCTGGAAAATTATTCACGTCTTCATATCCCCTATTTTTCACCGCCGATGATTTGCAATGCCTCAATTATTCAGACCCACTTTATCCCAACATTGTGGAGGCATACCTTTACTCAACCCTTCATGATGCAGAAGGATTGAGACTTTATACCCTACTTACATCGCAATTTGTCCAGGCGAATTACACCATGAATAACGGACGATATGTCACCGATTCTGCAGGGAATCCATATTTCAAAATAGAAGTAAATACTTCAGAAATTGCTAATATTAGCACACGTTATTTCGTGTCCCCTTTTATCACTAATGAAGAATATGCACTGATTTACGGAGATACGGAAACGCAATTTATCTACATCTTTAACCCCATGGGAATTACTCGAACACGTCGTTCAATCTTATTGGATGTGGCAAGGAAATTAGTTTTATGCTTCAAAGGAAAAGGCACCACCTGGTCCTATAAGACAAATCAATGCATTAACTTATCTGGTTCATCGGATTCGGGAATTCTAATCCTTCAACAATTCGAAAGGCTACTTTTTGGCACGTCTTACGACTTCATTCCATTTTCTAATATGAGAATTAAAATCATGGATAGGTTACCTTCACTACCAAGCGGGCAAGATGCTCTTAATTACGATGAAGATCATCAAACAGGTATATGTAGCGATTTTTATATATGCATGCACATAGTACATGGATATAAATAATTTGCACATATGCATGTACATACATACATATGTATAAATGTAAGTGTATTCATAAAAATAAGTTGTTTCTGTTGAAATTAATTCCAAACTGGATATCAATTGTTCAAAAAATATAACTAAACGTTTGTAAATTTCTGCAGATTCGGCTTGCCCTGATGAGAAACGGAGCGTAGATGGATCTGTTCCTTATGAAACGATTTCTAGCGTTTCGGATAACACAAGGTAAATTATTTTGTTACGTAAATTAATTTGGTGTTCGTATTACATATTTTTGAAGATACTACCGTGTTTGCGGTGACAAAATTAGCTAATTAATAAGCGAATTTAGCTTGATTATGCTATTGTTAGACTTTTATAGGGACACTCAAAAGACGCAAAATCTCAATCTGACTAAATTAGGAGTGTTATATTGTTCCATATTTTAATTTTTGTTAATTTACGTTACTATAATTACTACTTGACTTGACTCATAAATATGTGTTGCAGACAATCTATGGGAAATGAGCCGTTGGTATTCCATCACACGAGCCCAGTACGGAATGTACTAAAACTATCATCGAATAAGTCAAAGCCACCCGTGGATGATGCGGAGACAAATAGAGAGAATGATTTGGGTATATCAACAACTCAACTATTAAATACATGCGTACATTTATAGTTAGAATTGAAGTTGGGAATAAATAAAAATCATAGTTTCAGCGGATCGTCAAGGCCAAAGGATGCGACGACTTATCAACAAAGCATCGGAAAGAAAATTCGAGCTATCCGACTTTACCGACACTGCGAAGCTTAAAAGTCTCGAAATTGGTGATGGGCATCGAAAAGACCTTCTGGCCTTGATAAGAAAAATTGGCTGCTCGAATCTAAACATTTCGACACGAGAAGCACTCAAGGAGCAATATTCGCCTGAATTGTCGCACAAAATTTTTGGAGTTTTGTCCCATTACAAATGTATTCAGAAGTACGGGAAATCTTTACTCCTAAAAAATACAAGTAAGTTTAGCTCGAAAATAGTTGTATCCAAAATTTATTCTTGCTGGTTGATACCTGAATGCCAATTTGCAGAGCTACACGTGGAGTCATGTACAATGTTGGAACCATTCGTGGGATCGCCAAGTTCATCGCATACGGACTCTCAAATTTATACTGGCTCAACAATGACATGGGAGCCCTCAGTTGGTAAACACATAACGATTAATATTTCTGGTTGACCATCCATTAGCTAACGTTTCGTTGATATTCAGATAATATCAATAATTCAACGACGAGCCCAATCAGTCCAGAACTCGTATTGCCAAATACTTCAGAATTTGGTGCGTAATTTTGCACAAATGGAAGCAGCGATAAATGCTTATTAGTTTTATTTCATTTTCAGAAATATCAACGCCAAAAATGAAACTTAGGGAACGTCCAAGAAGGAAAATCATTTTCACGCCGACAACTAATAATCCCTTGAAAAAAAGTTTTAGGACACCTGAGACGCGTTACAAATTTTGTATTTGTAAAGAACATCGGGGTGGGCCAATGATAAAGTGTAGCGCCATTCCTAGATGCACAAATGGACTTTGGTTTCATTACGAAGTACCTGATAGCCCGCGGCCAGAATGTGTGAACGTGTGTGACGAAGATAGACTGAGTGGAACAAAATGGTTTTGTCCAAGTTGCATTAGTAATGGTATGTCCCAGAGTCATAACTCAATAGTGCTTCAAATTATTCAACTTAAATTTTACCAGGTATCAATTCAATTCCAAGTTTCAAGAAAGAGACATCAGTTCCTGGTGGTTTAATCATAAAAGGTAATGTGACTTCCCCACATAACAATACATATCATCATTTAATTACTAAACCAAAACAGTAAATATTCAAACTCTTGTTATAGATATTGAATTGGCCAACGATATAATCCAGGATAACAGTGATTTTCCGATGCGCACAGTCGATGAAAACGAAGGTATATCTTTTATCCTGATATTGAGTATTGAGTTCTTAGTGCTTGCAATCATTCAACTTAAATTTTACCAGGTATCAATTCAATTCCGAGTTTCAAGGAAGAGACATCGCTTCCTAGGGGTTTAATCATGAAAGGTACTAATATGACTTTGCTATTTAATAATGCATTTAAACATTTGTTTTGCAAAAACAAAACAGTATATATTTGAACTCGTGTAATAGATATTGAATTGCCCGACGACATAATCCAGGATAGCAGTGATATTCCGATGCACACAGGCGACGAAAACGAAGGTATATCTTTTATCCTGATACACATACATACATATTCATACCTTTATTTATTTTGCCGGTAAACTTATTTACATATGTATACGTGAATTACTTTCGCGGTATGCATATTAAATATTAATTTAACAACGATAAAAAGTTGTAGCCGTTGATTGAGTGATAGCCATTCTCAAATAGTAGTCTAGTCTCTACTCATAATTTTATAAATAATTACTTTTCCAAAAAATTAGCCCCTGGTTCTGTTTGAGTTTTCACCGCATATATATTTTGCGGAAGTGTGTAAAAATATGCTAATGAACCTAATGGCGATAATGTGTATAGAGTCGTAGTAATTTTGCTAAAATTTTGACATACTTATTTGTTATATGTAGATATAACCGAGGATGAATCCCACACTCGTGATCAGTTTGACCAGGTCGCTGAAGATGCTCCTCTTTTAACAAATGGATCTGAAGTGTTCACCATCGATGATGTCATCGAAATTGAAGGCCTACCCCCGCAAATAAAAAACTATCAGAGACCGGATTCAATTACCATTCGAATTCCGTACAAAGATTTTGCGGATATATGGGATTTCGAACTATTACGACCAATACCGCAATCCAACTGGGCTACACTAATCGACCAACAACTTGCGAACATGGATTTCCCATGCTCTTTCCACGTACAAGACTCAAAACCCACCAGCCCAAAAATGCAACAAACGCAAGGGGTTATACGGAAAGTGAAGGGGTATTGCAGATATGCACGGAGACACTCAGCCGACCAGAGTTTATGTCAAACCAAATTTAGTTGTAAAATTATTAACCACCTTGGCTTACATGAAGAAAGCAGGGGTGATTTAGCGTCAGAGGACGTCAGCATAGAATGCGAGCTAAGCGGTAATTTTGTACTTTTTCAAACCAGCTTAGCAATACTTGAAGAAAGTTTGGACACATACATTAACAGGAAGTACGATTTGCTCATTGGGAAAAAAGTACGGGACAAACCGACCATACTCTTCATTTGCTCAGGCCATTTTATGCATGCAAATTCAAAATATTGCCCATCATCGCCTTGCAATTTCCCCGCGCTACACGCTTTTGCTCTATTAATCGAATCAAGAACCCAGCAAGAAATTCAAACCCTCGTCGAGATTGTCACCCAACTGTTTGGAAATCGCAATTTAAATGAATATCTTGTCGACGACTACAGTAAATTTCTAACAGAAGGACAGCCACTATCTGAGAGTGTTGAAGAGAGCCTAGCAGAGAAGATGGATGACGATTTCCACGGGGTTGAGACGGCGGAGAATCCAAAATTACAAAGAGAAAAGTCAAAGTTTTTTATCTATTTTAAGCAAGCTGTCGATAAAATGATGACCCAAGAAGAAGTATTTGACGATTTGATGCCGCCGACTAATAAATACTTCAACACAAAATGCCTCGATACTTTTCAACGTTGGTTCACATATTTACCCTTGTGGAGCAAAATAAGATTCGTTGGAAACCATAACACCCCCGATGATACCATCACAACAGGATTAGTAGAGAAGTCCTTTGACAATTTTAAAAATAACTTTCATACAAAGAAAATGTTCGAACCCGATCTCATTTTGGAGCACGCTGCATATGCCACTGGTCTGGTTACTGAAGCACTTTGGCGGGGAAGAGCAAGACGGGTGCCAAAACGAAAGAGAAGTCCCGAAGCAGAAAACAGTGGCAACAAAAAACCAAAGACGAAAGCGGGGACAAGAGGTTTTGTTGGAAGTCCAGCATTTGCAACCGCGAGATGGGGTAAAAGGACGGGTAGAAAATCAACGAAGTATGTCCCTAAGATTAAGGCAATGAAGAAGGGCAAGACCTTGAGAGGAATTTCATTACCAGAAATCAAGTTTGATGCTGCGCAGGAGGATTGTTCGACTAGTAGCGAGATTAACATATCAGGTCCCGCCGAAATTCCAGCTAGAATTCAAACCTTTACAATCGATGATGATAGCGTTTTCGAGCGGTACTTAGGTGAAACTCATAGCGAAATGAAGCTCGACTCTAATGACTGGGCCATATCGACGAAAAAACGTTTGGAATTATTCAAAACCCCTTTATACTCAATAGGTATATTTAAATATTAGTTGCATACGTCCTATAAAAAATAGTACCGATCTACCGATAAAAAATAATTTTATGTCGTTATATTCCACAGGAGACGAGGAAGAATTGCTTTGTCTAAATCCAGGGGCCTTGGTTAATGATGCCGTTGCCAACGCTATTGCAACTCATATTTTCGAAAACTCCAACTATGCAAATGACCGAAAATTCCAATTAATTTTAAGTAATTTCATAGAGCATACGCGTAAAGGAAAATTTGTAGCGCGGATGAGCAGACTTCCCGACGAATCTTTATTCGACAAGGAAAATGGCACACTTTATATGCTCGGATTTACCAACTCTCCCAAGCACTGTTTCTTAAATTCAATCAACTTCAAAACACAAACAGTTTTGATGTATGACTCACTCCCAGGCGCGATCGATAAGGTTACAAAACGTGTATTTTTTGACGCCCTTGTAACTGCTCTGAATTTACATTTCGAATTGATAGATCCATTTTGGACATTAGAATCGTGCACTTGCCCGACTCAACTTCCCAAGAGTAATGATTGTGCGATCATGGCATTAGGTTTTCTAAAAGTACTGGTAACTGCTAAGGCCGAATTAACCGAAGTTAATCAAGATAGGTGTCTAGATTATCGAAAAAAATATGTAGGGCAATTATTAAGTTCAACAGCCGATGGAAGGTCTTTCTTTTTAAAATGCAATAATGACCCTATATTAGCCCTTCGTCGTATTGGAACTCGTCATAAGGAACGGGAAAAGTTATCGTACATACATAAAGAGATGGAGAAACTGGCGGAACTTAAAGTAAAGTGTTTTGATGAAAAATGTGAAGGTGTAGAAGATGAAATAATAAGTTTAACCCTTTCTATTAAGTCTAAAATCAGAGAATACACACAGGACTTTTCTGAATAGAAAATTCAATCGTTCTCACAATAGTGTGTAAACTATCTAAATACGTATATACGTGTAGAATAATAATGATAATATATAATCTAATAACAATTTTAATTTAATTCAACCAGAAAATATTTACAACACTTGTTCCATGCTTTTTATCATTAATTACGTTTGTTTATAAAAGTATTATAAAAAATTGGGCCACATCCGCCGTCCTATTTTTATCATTTTTACAATTTTTGGCCACTTACATAATATACAAATAATTAGTGCTGATAAGTTGAATAATAATAATTTGTATGACGTTTTCATGATACTTGTAATCACTATTCTAAATTCTTAGTACACCATAAGTAAGACTCGATTCTCCTTAATTATATAAAATTAACAATTTACTTCAGTTGGGTGAATGAATATTTGATAAGAAATCGAAAATATAACTGTAAATAAAGGGTTGATAACACCAAGTTCGATGAAACATGAGAAACATTTAAAATCTACGCATCTCACTTATTCCATTGTATCAACGCTAAGGAGACACGTAAGCACATTAGTTGACACCTACATTTTGCACGCATATACCTATCTACAAATCTCATCCATAATTTTGAAGTACCGACGACATTCATGAAAACATTTCACTTGCTAATGGCTTACATTACTCTCGCATTATAAATTGCAAGCATACATACAACACGCAACTATACACAACGACAGGGAGACAAAAATCTAGAAACATAAACAAAGAAGCAGAAGTTCGTATAAATACATAGGGATTTATATATCCATAAAACGGCATGCACACACACATACTATGCCATATTCGCAAAAAACTCTCATAAAATACACCATACAAAATTGCATAAATTCATACACACTTATTAGTCCCTGAATATCTACGAATCCTTTCTCCACACTAAGAGCTATGAACGATGCCGCATTACTGTAATTAAAAATATCTTCACATACACAAAACGTTGGATTTTTTTTCAGTGGAATGCAAGGTGGTTTAAGTGGCTTCAGTTCCATGCTAACCAATATATACGTCCCCAACGCCGTGGCCTGTTTACAGATACAGCGTTCGAATTTTGGTTCTCCTACCCGTTCAACAAGAGAAATTAGATTTTCCCCGATTTTTTTTGTCGATTATTTAAGTGGTGCATGAGCAGCCACTATATACGTTTGCTACCACAGGGTAATAGATCCAAAATGCGGGTATTGCGAACCCAAAAGCTTTGCCCGTTTTCGAGCAATAAACATCCGAAATTCGGTTTTCTCAGGTTTCCAACTTATGGAAAAGTCGGATTTTCCCCGATTTTTTTCTCGGTTATTTGAGCGGTGCATGAGTAGCCACCATATAGGTTTGGTAGCACTAGGCTACAGCTCCAAAATGCGGGTATTGCGAACCCAAAAGCTTTGCCCGTTTTCGAGCAATAAACATCCGAAATTCGGTTTTCTCAGGTTTCCAACTTATGGAAAAGTCGGATTTTCCCCGATTTTTTTCTCGGTTATTTGAGCGGTGCATGAGTAGCCACCATATAGGTTTGGTAGCACTAGGCTACAGCTCCAAAATGCGGGTATTGCGAACCCAAAAGCTTTGCCCGTTTTCGAGGAATAAAAATCCGAAATTCGGTTTTCTCAGGTTTCCAACTTATGGAAAAGTCGGATCTTCCCGATTTTTTTCTCGGTTATTTGAGCGGTGCATGAGTAGCCACCATATAGGTTTGGTAGCACTAGGCTACAGCTCCAAAATGCGGGTATTGCGAACCCAAAAGCTTTGCCCGTTTTCGAGCAATAAAAATCCGAAATTCGGTTTTCTCAGGTTTCCAACTTATGGAAAACTCGGATTTTCCCCGATTTTTTTCTCAGCTATTTGAGCGGTGCATGAGTAGCCACCGCATAGGTTTGGTAGCACTAGGCTAAACCTCCAAACTGCGGGTATTGCGAACCCAGAAGCTTTGCCCGTTTTCGAGCAATAAAAATCCGAAATTCGGTTTTGTCAGGCTTCCAACTTATAGAAAAGTCGGATTTTCCCCGATTTTTTTCTCGGTTATTTGAGCGGTGCATGAGTAGCCACCGCATAGGTTTGGTAGCACTAGGCTAAACCTCCAAACTGCGGGTATTGCGAACCCAGAAGCTTTGCCCGTTTTCGAGCAATAAAAATCCGAAATTCGGTTTTGTCAGGCTTCCAACTTATAGAAAAGTCGGATTTTCCCCGATTTTTTTCTCGGTTATTTGAGCGGTGCATGAGTAGCCACCATATAGGTTTGGTAGCACTAGGCTACAGCTCCAAACTGCGGGTATTGCGAACCCAAGAGCTTTGCCCGTTTTCGAGCAATAAAAATCCGAAATTCGGTTTTCTCAGGTTTCCAACTTATGGAAAAGTCGAATTTTCCCCGATTTTTTTCTCGGCTATTTGAGCGGTGCATGAGTAGCCACTACATACGTTTGATAGCCCAGTCCCATAGCTACAAAATAAGCGTATTCCGAGCGCAATCGCCTCACGCGTTTTCGAGCAATTGAAATCGGAAATTCGGTTGTCTAATGCTGCAATTCATGTGTTTTCAGTAAAAATGGACTATTTCATTCGATTTCATATGCTTATAATAGTATAATTTAATTTATTACTGGCAACTTGTTTGTTGATTAAGTATTGCTGTGAGCGCACTGTTTGTATGACAATTGTGGTTTATATGTAAATACGAGGCGAGGTTGGTTACGTTAATAGTTACATTTGTATATGCGCGTGTGTATGTATGTACATATAGAGCTGTGGTCTCGTTCTGGCTTCACAAGTTAAGTATCGCGTTCTAGAACCTCCAAAGTATTGATTACGTATTCATAACACTTAATTGGCTCGATAATAGCCAAATGAGCCAGAGTCTCAAATTGCCCCTTAAAATGGGGCGGGAAGGCCAGAGGTTAGAATTACAACAGTTCTGGAGCTCTGGGAAGCGAATCTCATGTTGCCCCACACAGGCGGGAGTTATGGGCGGGGAGGCCTAGTTTTCGGATAAATTCGGCTTAGCCGGCTAACTTCATCCAAACTAAAAAAAAAAAAAGGAGAGGCCAACTTCACACTAATGACAATTGTCGTTTTGTAAGAAATGGTTTAATTCGGGAGTACGACAAAAGTCGTCCTGAAAAATCGTGGCCATGGTGCGGGAAGAAGACAATTGTCGTTTCTGGGAGATCATTGATTTTCACAATTTTCTCGCCTCGGAGTAAAATCTGTTGAAATTTGAGGGATTTCTCCTATGCCAACCAGATGTTAAATTTGAACATTTTCTTACCGAAAATGTGGATATTGCCCTATTTAACGCAATGTTAAATTTTGGAATTTTCAGTTTTTTCGAGTTTTATTAAAACTCTTGAATTTCTCCTCCCACACCATGACCACAACATACTCATAACGTCCCCGGATTAATGTGTTTTCTTGTAGTCAATGATACTCGTTAAAGGGTTAACTAAATCGCTTGTTTTCTATCATCAAAACTTTTCTATCTGTTAAATTTATAATATCATTGATTTTTTTCTTTCGCAGAAAATATGGAGACAGGTCATGGATTCGACAACCGCACAAAAAATGGGACCCGTCATATTTTACAGGATTTACTTTCCTCTACCGTCATTCTTGACAGATGTCGAACTCTTCCTCTCAAAAAAGAGCAAAATTTAAATTTAATTGACGGATCTACTCAGCAAATCCGTTCATGTTCGATCTGCTCCGAATCTACAAATTTATGTCCAATCGCCGTCCAAGAAATGGACATTCTTGCCAAATTCGTGCTAAATCAGGAGAAAATTTCTCTCATTTTACAAACTGAGGATCATCCTGCAATATTTTGTTGTGAAATCTGCTCCTCCGCGATCCACTCGTTGGCCAAGTTGACCACGCAGATTGAAAACATCACGATTTCTCTACGTGCCGTCATTTCCAGCAGAAACGGGCTGTTTAGCAGAATTCAAAGAAATGAACCTACTTTAATCACTAGTAGGAATCTTGCAGATTTGCATTGAAATCTAGTTGAAATTAAATGGAACATGTTTCTACAGAATTTCCGCACACAGGCAGTGACGGAGTCTGTCAGAGGGACGATTTGGAAAATATTGACGACCTACAATTACCTGGCGACATTGAGGAGGAAGAATTTTGTGTAAAAGTCGAGCCCCCAAGTGACCATGAGAACAACGTTGACGACGACGACGAACTTAATGAAATCGGGTCAGATCCGCTCTTCATACCGGAAGAAAGTGATGATGCTGATGCCAATTTACCAGACTCCGGGGTCGACGTGGCGTCAAAATTTGTGTGCACATTATGCAAACCCAACGTCGCCGTTACCACAATCGTTACTCTTAAACGTCACTTAAAGAACACAAAAGTTCATGAAAATATTTCGAGGGCTGATTATTTAGGTAATTTTCATGAAAATGCGACCCAAGTTAATGTAGATTTAGTTACATTGTACGTACATCTTTTGTATTTGTGTTTTTCTAAGAAAAACAAGATGAACTAATGTATTAGTAAAATTTGTGATTTTAATATTTTTCCGTATTTTTTTTAGCAATCATGAACGCAGCAAAGGCTAAAAAAGCGTGAGTTGAATACTGATATTAATCAAATAATGTACGTAAATGGATACATTTCCAACGTTTGCATGAAAAAGCTTTGGCAACTTTTTTTACGCAAATTAAATACATGTGTACATATTTGCAAATCTTCCCAAATAACCTTAAATTTACCAAAAGTTGTCAAACTTACAATTAGCGTTTGAGGAACTTGTTAATCAAAAATGCAAGATTTTGAAATTTGTATCAATTTAATTTTTTTAATTGTCAAATTTTGCATTTGCAGCCACGTGCTCCAAGTCGAGAAGCGGTATCCGTGCGCCCAATGTGAGAAGCGGTTCGGTTGGAAGGCTGCCTTGGTTCGGCACGTGACCGTGGTCCATAAAGGGGTTCGTTACATGGTAAAATGCACCCTTTGCCCTGGAACCTTTCTGGATCGGAGGACCTTGGAAAGTCTAATGGTGAAATGTCACGAGGCTCCAAAACCCGTCGCCAAAAAGCGAAAGGAACGCTACTCTTGCGAAATGTGCGAAAGAACGTTCGCCACATCGTCGGGAATGCAGCGCCACGTGGAAATGGTCCATTTCCAGGACAAGACATCCTGTCCGTACGGATGTCAAACTGATAACTTTGACTCGGAGGCGGAATGGGTGACGCATTTGGTGGTGTGCGACTCTACGAAAATGGTGAGTTTTACCTTTAATTTTTTTTAGAATTTTGAAAAATCTCATCAAATTAGTACACTACGAATTGCAGGGCTATTTAAAGTCTACTTTGCACACTTTGTACTGTATTTTCTAGTTAAATATCGTGAAAGATTTAGATATTTGAACGGAGTTTTCAAGTTTTTTTTATTTTTTTTGTATTTTTTTGCAGAGGGCGTGCGTCTGTTACTTTTGCAATTTAAAGTTCCGCACAACCCTGCTGAGGACGGAACATTGTTTGAGAGCCCATCCCGACAAGGTGCACATTTGTGCTGGTTGTGGGGCAAAATTTACTCGGCAGGATGTCCTCAAGTCGCACCGATGTGGGGAAAATGTGAAGAAGAGTAGAGTACAAAAGGATGCTTGAAATTATACAGTATTTCTAAAAAAATGTATTAATAATTTTTTGACATGGTGTTATTTTTTTATGAAAATCTGTCATTCTTAGAAAAACGTGTAGAATTATTTTAATTGGATAACCTTAACCTGTCTGGTTCTTTATTGTAGTAATCGAAGTAGTCGAAACACCCCTATAAATCTTTGGATTTGATGTAGTAATGTCATTTTTGGGAACACATAAATTCGCCTTGTTCGGTTGTTTTCTTACATATTGTCACCGAGGTTGCTTATTTTGTTAATTACATACTCTCACCAAAATAAAATTTAGACCGTAGGTATCAACTTAATTATAATTTCAATTTCGTTATGTAACTTCATATTATGCACGAGGAGTAGCGAGAATTTATTGATCAGTAGGATAAATTGTAATCGCAGAGTAAAATAATGTTTTACATACATTTAATTAGAAAAATCTAAACGACCAGCGCTGTACAAAAGTGTCCCTATCTGAATTAAAAATCTAAAACTGTCATAATATTAAAAGTAAAATATCTTATCCAACTCTCTCCCGGCTGGGAGAGATCCTAAAACTGCAGCCACGTTTCCACTGCGATGCTCATTCTTTGGATGAGAAATGGTGTTGCCCGCTTCTCCTCCGTAAGGGCTGTGATCCTTGACCCTATTTCTTTGATAAGGGAGAGACCATCCTTGCCCCATACTCCAGTCGTTTCAACGGCTACGGGAACATATTATGTAGTATGTACATGTGTAGTATTACTTATGGTGGGCGTAGAGATGAAATGGATTAGGATTTTCAAACACCCATCCAATCCAAATCCAAACCACCTAAATCCAATACATAAAAAATTTTCCGCCAAAAAATCCATTTTATCCAATCCATTTACCTCTGCCACAAAAAATATCCAATCCATCCAATCCATTTTAATAAAACTCCATTTTATCCAATTCACTTCTGTTTATGTAGCAAAAACTTCAATCCATCCAATCCATTTAAGAAATAATCCATACAGAAATTCACAGCCAAAGACTGCAAATTCTAATAGTAGAAAAATCTGAACGACGTTACTAAATGACTCAATAGCTCAGTGGTCAGAGCACCTGTCATGAAAACAGGAAGTCCCGGGTTCGTATCCCTGCTGGGTTAAACGTTTTAACACGATTTAGATTTAACTATTTTCATTCAAGAAATAATCCATTTTATCCAATCCAATCCAAAACTTCAGCGGGGTGAAATAAAACCTGTGCTGCATTCTAACACAGATGTTTTCTACTCGACTTGTGTACAACTTGATTAAACGAGCCTCACTTGAATATTATTTGAACTTTAAATCAACTGAAAATGAACCAAGTTATAGCAGTGGTACTGCTGTCCTCGGCCGTAGGCATATTAGTAGAAGGCTCTCTAAAATTGGAAATACCGTAAACTATTTAACAAGTCAAGTGGTATATGCAAAGTAGCTTTACAATTTACCTTGAGATAATGTTTGAGAATTAATTTTGAAAACGACTTACGACAAAGCCAGGGTTACAATATTTATTTTGTAGGAAAAAATTGTCATATGCGTAAGGTGCCTGTCACATTGGAAAAGTGCAATACATAGTTGCAGGATTTTTTTAACGTAACGGGTTTTCTAAGGGGTCTTGCGAAATGTGCAAAATTCAGCAAAATCTTGCTGGATAGATCGAAATCATATTTTGCTTACCTCATGCCATAAATGTTTTTAAAAAATCCCTAAATAATTTTCATGTCAAATACGAAGTCATCCATGGCTTAAAATTATCCTTCTAAATATTCTTGCAGAATATGCAGAAGCTAAAATGCCACCGCTTTTGTGGAAATTCAACACAATCGATGTCCATTTAATAGCTGTGGTATGGGTCGTCTTCATGTTCGCGGGCTCAGTAGCACTCATGTTCTTTGTTGTTCCGGGGCGACCGCAATGTTTTTATTCGCTAATTTCCTCCACCCCAAGGAACAAAATGGACCCCGTTTTCCTAGTCTTTCTCGCATTTGAAGTGTATGCCAAAACTGCACAGGTATTTATGATGGCGACGGATGCATTAGCCATCATGCCCACACTGCTTTCTGCCGCATTCTGGATGAAGTCTATGTGCAGGTTGGTCCAGCTACGGTCATATTGCATAGTGCTAATAGGGAGTCCCAACTTTGTAAAAAAAAATCGCTTTTTCTGCTCACGATTTTTTCGCTCTTTTTTTAAACTGCACTGCGCATGCGATTCTGATCTTTTTTCCGCTTTTTTGGCTCAAAAATAAAATCAACTTTAAGATGATTTTTTCGCTCTTTTTCCTACATGTGAGTGAAAAAGCAGTTTTTTTGGGACATTTTACTGAAAAAGTACCCGATTTTGATGCCCTTTGGATATGTTAGGTTATAGGCGAGTGTGTAAAAAGTGAAGGAGGATTTTATACCTTGGCCCCATTTGCGCTCGGCACACCCACTCAATAGCATTAAAACAAAAACTGTTGCATTCAAACCTATGCAACATATCACATTTTCATCCCATTTTGGTAATTTTTGGATTTTCCTGATCCTAGTTGGTTTATAATATCCAACATGAAATTCATTATTATTATTTTTTAATATTTTCGAAAATTTCCTGGTCAGTCCTTGCAAAAATCAAAATTTCAAAAAAGTTGGGTTTGATGTTGGACATCATAAAGCAACCACTTACGATCAGGAAAATATAAAATTTCAAAAATTTGACTAAAATCGTGTTTTTGGTGATTGTTTGAATGGGAAAGGCAGGACTTTTTTGTGCTCTTCGTGCCTTTGAGTGGGTGTGGCTGGCGCTAGTGGGGCCATCGAGTAAAATCCTCCTTCACTTCTTTTCGTACACTCATCTACATAGTACATAATGTACTGAATCATATTTAAAGGGCATCAAAATTAGGAACTGACCCATTAACAACCTTTTATCATAACGATGAGTACAGGGAATAAAAATCGTTACAGGCAAGTATTGAGCGAAAAAAGTGGATTTCAGATTTTTTAGCTTTTCGCTTTTTTACATCTTTTTTACAAAGTTGGGACTCCCTAATCCCATCGAAGAAGTGCATCACTTGATTCCTCACCTTTAAAGAATTATTCAAATATGTACAACGTCCTGATTTCGTTTGTACACTGTGAATAATCTGGTAATAAACATTACCGAAAAGCACAAGTACATAACTCTACCAAAGTGGCAATGATAAGTTGTACCGTGTGGTAATGGCTTGGTAATAAAGTTTTACCATCATGGTAACGAATTTTTACTACCTGGTAAAATATTATTACCAAATTTATTGCCGAGAAATCATTACCTGCGTGACTTTACCGGATTATTAAAAGTGTACGTAAACCGGTTTTCACATTTTATTCTCTTTACATTCCAAGAATTCCAGTCTGGTTATAAAAAACAACTCTGTCTGTCTCGTATCTGTTACTAAATACATATGCCCCGCATGTACATATGTACGTGCATACGAGATCGTTCTTATTGTTTACTGAGAAACAGATTGCCTACATACACATTTACATATTTACTTTATAGGGCAACCCAGTGCAAGTTTATCCACCATGACTACTCTTTATGCTAAAAAGGGCACGCCTGAATCTTGTTATTGCTGGGCAATCATACGTCATCCACTATTTTGCGCAGCCTTTGCGTTAAGTATGTAGGTATCGTAATCGTAACATCTTCAGTTTCTCGACAATGTGCGATTCAGCTTGCAATTTTTGTCAGTTTTCCTTCAATCCTGGCAGCAACAACACAAAGACAAAAAAAATGACAAGTTTTACATCGAACAGGACTTAGAACATTACTGATTTTCAGCCTTAGATGGGCTAACAAACAAACCCTCACCATTCATTCACAGCATATCACACGCGCCTTTCTATTGTTTGATATTATACACTGAGAAGTAGTTAAACCGACGACATATGTAAGTTCCTGTCCGTTAATATTCAAAACATTTCTTCAGAATATTCTAAAAGTCTTCCATCTCTTTTTTGGAAAACATTTACAAATAATTTGTATCCGATTCAAGAAATAATGGGGAGAACTTGTTGCTGCGGGAATTGCACGGTGGGACAGGGCACTCTCACCATCGCAATTTTGAATATTGTAAGTTGAACCGTAGTACTTAATCAGTCTACCCACGTCAACCATTTATGATCAGAACATAATAATCAGAATCACTTATCAAGTTTCAAGAATTGCAAAAATTTCCATGGAAAGCATTCAACTTTTTTCCAAGTTTACCCAGTAACTAATTTTAATCAGTGGTGAAGGGAAACTGTAAAAATTTATGGAGGCAGCGTCAAAACAGTTTTAAGAAATAGAACTTGCAAATCATATTTTGCTAATCCTTTCAAGACGCAGTTTTGCAAGACTTGTTTCCATGCAAATTAATACCTTGCTATGAGTACGCTCAACGTGAAAATTGGTAAAGCTGGTTGGGCCAAAAATTTAAAAATACAAAATTTAACATAAATCCAATAATTATTTTAGCTTGGTGGAATCTTTTTCATTGTTCGAAATTCGATCGGACTTAATAATATGATTAATAATCCGGAGCAAATTAAGGACTTTTCCTTTCAGAAATATCGTACGTACATAAATATTTTTAATCAAAAGGCGAAAGATTTATACGACTTGAAGGGAGACCCGAGATTTTAATCAAAAATTCCAAATTGTAGCATTTTTTACCAATAAAATTCCTCCTGTTTTTTTAGGAACTCAATACATTGCTCTTGGCTGCATCCAGTTATTTGTGGGGGCCGTGTACCTTATTTTATCATGTCTCGTGGCGCAGGGTTGTCGCAGCGTAAGTGGGTTCATTGTTTTTATAGGGAACGTCCATACATTACGTCATCATTTTAGTCAGTGGGTGGTATCCTTCCCATGTTAAAATTCCCCATCCCTTAATGTTTGCGTTGGATGGGTTGGTGCTACACTCGATAATTTTTTATGACGCAATGTATGGATGGCCCCATACATACACTCTAGGAACTCCACTCCTTAAAAATTGGCACACGTTGGAACAGCATCTAAATTCACAGTTTAAAGGAGTACAAATTTAATATAGTTTTCATAATACAGAACTTACAATGGGGACGCAAACCATGTCCAACCCAGAAATTTTTTTTACCTTGTTAGTTGGAAAGAGCTACTCTTTGAAACACATGTGTGTGGCACCTTCATAGATGTGCAACATTCGGCAAATTTTTAGCGCCGCTAGTTCGCAAAAACTCTAAACTACAGTAGTGCCGACATAGCTCGCATTGGACCTTGGTCGACTGGACTTAAATGGTCCATCATGGACCACAGATTACAAAAAATTGGTCCATCGATGGACCATGTTGTGACGGACCATGGACCAATTTATAGCCAGCTATGCTACCCACAGGACAGATTCCGTTAAAAAACGGAGCATCTTCGCGAATTTGCGGCGCCCAAATTTTTTCTCACAAATTCCTCACTAAATGTTAATTCTAAAGAGTTATTAAGTTGCTCTTTATTAATAACATTTAGTGAGGAATTTGTGCGAAAAAATTTGGGCGCTACAAATTCACAGTATAATAAGTTGCTCCTTTAAACTAGTACGGTCAAAAGTACGAAATCTGGGTTGAATATGGTTTGCGTCCCCATTTTGCGTTCCGTACTAGGTAAACCAGATTCAATTTATGTAGACTAAACTTTATTTTTGATTTACTTTATTTTTAAGAGCGTATCCAGAGCTTGATTAATTTTATCCTAAAGCCTACTCCGTACTAGAAATTTTTATGTTCCAATTTTTCTGCACGCCGTGTGCACCAATATTGGTGGCATCTACATTGTTAATAGTGTTCACATAACAAGGCGACGCGTAATTAACAACCTTTTTGAATTATTAACAAAATTTCAAATTTAATAAAATTTCGAGTTACCCATCATTACATCATTACATGAATTAATTGTTTCTCAAGCCGACGCTTAATTAATAACCTTTCCCGCTGATTACAAAATTCGACATAAGTAACAAATTTTCTCCAACGATTCCATTCAATCGTGAGAACCAACGGATAACCCCTAATTGTATACCGAAATTCCATAATTCGATCGTGGAAAACTAATATGTGAAATGCAATTATTTTGCAATATTCCGCAAATTCGAAAAGTGGGGTCCGAAATCGAGGCAGTGGCCAAATTCTAGCCCAAAATAATTTTTAAAATTATTTACACTCATATTAAACCAAATTTGTACGAGCTTGAGACATAATTTAAAATTTGCAAAAAATTCGCACATTTTTACTTGTATCTCGAAAACTCTTACGGCACGCCCCCAATTTTATTACGGATTATTGATCTACTCATTTTTACGAAAATTTTGAGCTATCAAACTTGAAAATCGCTCGAGGTTGAAAAAACACTATTAGATGGTATATATCTATCTTAACCAATTAATCTGCAATCAAGTTATTGCAGGCTAAATGCTGGGAAAACCTCTGGGAAATTCAAGTTTGTTTTCTTTCGGTTATGCAAAAGAAAAATACATGTTGCTACGAGTAGTTGAAAAAATGATTTGAATTTGGAGCAAATCTTAAGAACCAATGACAGCAGCCCAATTTTGTTGCAGCAGGAAAAATATTGACTCGATTCAACTTTTTTGATGCTGCATCCAGTTTGGATACATCGCTACAGCAATATTGATGTGACCAAAATTTTGATGTCACACTTACAATAAATGTGCAGATTTTGGTGTACAGCAAGATTTTGAGCAGGAAAATTTCTAGTGCGAAATAGGCTTAACTGAATTCTCACATTAATTTAAAAATAATTAAGACTTAATGTTACAAATTTTTAGCGGGATCACCGCTGGATCATGCCTTGGCTGGTGTGGAGCTACATTTCCCTCGCTCTCTTTACGATGGGAATGGTCGCAGTATTTTTCTGGATGGCATTTGGGGGGCAATTTTTGGCGGGATTGTTGGTTTTAGTCACGTGTGCAGTTTTCATAACAGTGCAGACATACTTGGTCCTGGTTGTGAAATACTTCGTGGATGAGTTGAAGGGTGGAGACTGTGAGGCAACGTGAAAGACAAAGTCAATGATGTGTACAAATCATGTTCGCATCTAAATCTCCGAATTTAATTTTAAAAATTACCAATTTAATTTTTGGTGGTAGGATAAATGTAGACTAGCTATTTGTAAATTATATGCAACCACCCCCTCTTCGAAATTAGGGGAAGAAAATTGGGAAAAATGAGAACTATGATGTACACTCGATACAAAAAGAATTTGACCCCAACTTGCATTTGACATTTGAATTCCCCAATGAATACGAAGATTTTTATGCACCAAGAGTTTCAAAATTCGATAATTCGCGGTTTTTTCTACTTAAACAAATCGTCAAAAAAAATCAATGTCCCCACACTTTTACTTCTGACAACCTGATGCCAGATTTTTCTCCTTGAAAAGACCTATATTTTCAGCTTTTGTTGTCTGGAGTAAAAGTGTGGGGACATTGACTTTTTTGGGGCCAACGTTGGTGTGGGAGCCATCTCATACCGCAAGTGCCGTAACAAACTTATCGCCGATTATTCAATGCGATGGTTTGAAGTTTAACCGTCCGAATTGATTTAAATTTTGAAATTATGTGGTCCAAGTCAATACAACCAACTTTTCTTGATGCAGTTTGTGCGATGGTCGGAATTTGTCAAAATAGTTTAGATCAAAGTTGAAAAGTAGAAGATTTTCCTTTCGAAGGGAATTGGAGTGGCGTTTACGTCATCCGCTTGGTATACATGGTTAATTTTTGTAAATTTTGACTTCAAATATTTTGAAAAATCCACAAACTGTCTCAAGAAACGTTACAACAACCAAATCCGAGGGTACACTCTAAATAAAAATAACTAGAATTTACTCAAGGTTGAGTAAAAAAGAGGATGACACAACCGAAAGGTAAAATTTACCCAACGGATGGATAAATTTACCCAACGGATGGACAAATTTTGCCCAACGGTTGTGTAAATTTTACCTTTCGGTTGTGTCATCCTCTTTTTTACTCAACCTTGACTAAATTTTAGTTATTTTTATTTAGAGTGTAACACTTCACACCATCGCATTGTAAGTAGGTAATTACTGACGTACCTTACTATTTAATTGAATAATCACAAGAAACAGACTACTTTTTTCAATTACCTGCTAACTCTGGGTGATTATTTATGTATGTTAAAATAAGTTGCAAAGTAATTTGTTATTGATAGTTTAAATACATAAAACTTGCAAGGCTATTGTGAAAACTTTTATTTTGAGAGAACTTTGTTATACGATCGTGACACTTTACTTTGTTTTTAATTATGTAGATTCTCAGTTAACTTTACTAGTTAAAGTATAGATCTACTAACATATTAATCGTTAATTATAATTCTTTAATACAGCACTATATTGTCACTTGACAATAACAATTATAAAAAATTGTACATAATCTATACTATAATTTCGAAAAGTCCGTCCTGTGGAATTTTCCGTGACATCCCAGCATTCTGATTGGTTGCCGGCGTTCTGGCTCAACCAATCAGGGAATGGATGCGGATTTTGATTTTGATCATTTTCAGTATCATTTTCAGTATCATTTTCAGTATCATTTTCAGTATCATTTTCAGTATCATTTTAGATATCATTATTAAAAAATTAATAGTATCCAAAAAAGATCCAGAGCAGAGTTTAAGAAATTCCTTAGCAACGTTAAAAAATACCATAGCAACGTTATAAAAATTCCCTAGCAACATTTAAAAAATTCCTTAGCAACGTTAAAAAAATTCCCTAGCAACGTTAAAAAAATTCCTTAGCAACGTTAAAAAAATTCCCTAGCAACATTTAAAAAATTCCTTAGCAACGTTAAAAAAATTCCCTAGCAAGGTTAAAAAAAATTCCTTAGCAACGTTAAAAAAAATTCCCTAGCAACGTTAAAAAAAATCCCTAGCAACGTTAAAAAAATTCCTTAGCAACGTTGAAAAAATTCCCTAGGAACATTAAAAAAAATTCCCTAGCAACGTTAAAAAAATTCCCTAGCAACGTTAAAAAAAATACCCTAGCAACGTTAAAAAAATACCATAGCAACGTTAAAAAAAATCTATATAAAGTAAAAAATTACGGTAGTTGTAGTTTAAACAATTTTGTTTCAATGTGCCCCAAAATATTACAAAAAAATACGCGAAAACCTCCAAAATCCCGCAAAAGCGCATTAAGCAATAGATTTTTTTCGGAAATTTCATACCCCCCAAACCCACAAAAACCCCAACCCACCAAAACCCTGGGTAGCCAACCATATTCTCAGTAGCCCACATACTCTCCATAAATTGCCTCCCAGCATCTAAGATCTCCGTCTTGATCACATCCTCCCCCTCACCCACAAAACTCACCACTAACACCGCGACAATCGCGCCGCATAAACCGAGAACATACCACAGAGCTGGGAGCCCACTTTCCTGAGAATTCACAATCTTTGACTGTCTCGAATTGGAACTGAATTTTGCAAATAATTTTGCTGCTTCTCCTTCCCGAAACTTTTTCATCAAACTTAATTGCTTCCTCATATCCGCGACAGCTTCCCATCTTCCCGATATCCTCGATTCCTTTAGTCATACGTTTGGAAATTATCCCCGAAATCAAATTCTGCCTGGGATGGGATACCCGGTAAAATTGGAAGAGTAGATGGTCCCGGCTGTCGGGGACTAACCGCTTCCCGAGTGTTTTTAAGGCCGAGGAAAATTTGATTAATTCATCGTCATGGTCCACACTTATAATCTTGGAATGCGTAAGAATTTTAATTTTTTTGATAGAGATGATTTCCGAGTTGGAAATATTACTCGCAATCGCGTTCAAATCCTGAGCCCAGGGGGAAAGGAAGATTACCCGGGAGACAAAGGTGAACAGAAGTCAATCTTATCACAGAAACTTTTAAATCGGAAGCGTTCCTTAAACTTTGTCGGTTACCCGATTCATACTGAAGGACACCACAACGATTTGTGCAAGGCTGAATTCTAAAACTGTCATTTCTCGTACCGATTTTATTCCGCGGCGCAGAAGCAGTTCAACTTTTCGTTCTTCTGGATATTCAACTATGGTCAGATGTTGGTTCACCTTCGAGGAGGTAGGAAATGCTTTTTTTGTCTTTGCCACTCGAAAATCTGTCGTTTGACCATGAAGGTTAAAATCAAGAAATTTTTGGTTAAATTTCCAAACAAATTGAAAAATGTGTGAAATTACATCCCTGATTTGAACTTTATCATAAAAATGATTTTCAAACCGTTTTGAGGGATCAATTTAAAAAATAACTATCAAGTTTTATTTCCACTCGACCAACCTTCCTACAGCGAATTTTGTCTTCATCAGGGTCACAAGTACGTAATTGTTTGCTTCCATTACTTCTAATCAAAAACTTTTTGACTATCAAAAATTAACAGATTTTTTATTATGGGAAGAATTGTTAGCCACCAAAAGGTATTTTCTTGTACGAATTTTTCTTGATATATAAAGAAATAGTGCTTCTCCGATTTTTCCATGATACAAACGGGTTTCTCATTCAAAGTCTAACCAATACTGCACCCAAATTCTTAAATTCTTACTAAATACTTCAATACTTTCCTACCAGGCATGGCTACCCAGTTACCCCACGCGACCACCTACCTGACCCGCATGAGCTGGAGAATCGCGTATAAACAAGCCTCCAAAAATTCGGCACCTTCCTCCATCCCTGCGACCCTTACTATCTCCTCTACTGCGAAAACAAATTAATCTACAAGACCACCTCGTGGACCTATTGGATTACCCCGTTCAGCCGGGAAGTCTGGTTCGCCCTGCTAATTTCCATCCTTCTAACGGCCCTCATATCGTCCCGAATCTATGAATCTGTCGGAATCCTCGAAAACTTGGTCAACAGTATCGCGCTAACTTTAAAACAAGGCTTATCTCGTAATTTTTCCTGTTTCCACCTTTTCCTCACGTTCGTCATCCTGGTTGCCGCCAACTTGTACGAATCAATAATAACGAGCGAACTCGTCGTGACCCCGAAACCGCACGTTGCCGATCTAAAAGAACTCTTTGTTTCTCGAGCCTACCGAATTTTCTGGCCGGTCATTGACCCCCGCAGAATGGCGGGGCGCCCGCCCTATCCGAATTTCGGAGTGGATTCGCCCGCTATAACTTGACTTACTTACTCGACGAGCGAATCAAGGGGTTCGACTTGCCCCGAAAGACACCCGGGGATGATTTGCTCGACAAGTTCGAAACCTTTAAAAACCCGGGCAACAATCTCGCCACGGATGTCTGGGGGAATAGTAGGGGGTACAAAGAGATCGAGTATAATGGCTTGGTCACCGGTAAGTTTTGTCACATCGGGAAGGACAAGTTTTTCGATCGGGTGTTATCAAATTATGTTCAGGGACATGGGTATGAAGAGATTTTGACCTGGCTAAATTGGGCGAGGCAGGCGGGGATTGTTAAATTTTGGCGGGATGGGCGGGACTATACTGACACCAGAAAGAACTTGAAGGAGCATTACCTTCGGTGGAAGAAGGTCGGGTTGACCAAGGGGAAGTGGGCGAGGGGCAGGGTGAAGGTGGATTGGGAAGGAATGGGGCTAAATGAGAAAGTGGCGCAGTTGTTTGGTATTTGTGGGGTGATTCTGGTCACGGGTGGGGTAGTATTTGTGGTAGAAAGGTTACGAACTGTGACTTATGTTCAAAACGTATAAATTACTATACTAGTTATCCATATACTCCTTCTATTATCCAAACTTATAAATATTGTTCTAGTTTGTGTTTAAATTAATGCCAATTATTTATGCAAATGTGATTAATTTACTGGATTAGCTATGACTATGCTCCAGGTTTTATTGAAGGGTTGAACTCAAATTTAAACATCATTAGAATAAGCTGTGGAACTTCTCCAAGGCAATAAATTGTAATTTACCTTGCACTGTCTTACAAAAAATGCCGTCCAACTAGAATTTCATTTCCATACTTCATTTACCTATTCACATATATATTTTTGACATGGAAAGGGAAATGTGTCTTTTTTAGAAATACTTGATATCTATTACCGTGAAAATAATCGCTATCAAGAGCTATGACCTGGCTACACTACCGTGGTAACATTCTAGAGTTTACTGGTAATATGGGAAAATGCTTAAGGTCAGCTACATGTGTAACTTGCAACCAACTCAGAGTTTACTCTAGAGTTTTACTAGTAAAATTTCACTAGTAAAACTCTAGAGTTCAGTGTTTTACTACGAACTACAGCTACACCGCGACGCTCCTTCAGTGTAAAACATTGAAGATATTTCTTACTTACTTATGAGAGTCCACTTATTTTTTTAAACAGTAATTCCTCGTCCTCATTTAATTTATGAGAACATTAACGAGCTAATTATGGTTAAATCCATGTCGAAAATTGGGTTCAACTCTTTCTCGACAATCGACACTTTTATTTTAAATTAATTATTATTTTTAGATGAATTTTTAAAAGTTCCACCTCTAAGAAATAAGTCTCAGATTTGGAATGCTGAAAATTCCAACGGTACAAAACCAAATGTAGCTGGAGTTCTTATATCAGCGTTAAACTCTAGGGTTAACTCTGAAAAAAATTACGACAGTAGTGTAGCCAGGGCATAATGCTGTACGAATAAATGCTCGTTCAAATTGCTTTAATTGAGATTCTGAATAACAAGCTGAGCTTCGTGCACATATATGAAGGCAAATTTTCCTACCTGTAACATCTAGGGTTCGATTATTAATGTTAATACCATTAGGATACTTTTAAGTAGCTCGGTCCCTGGTGATTCGAATCTATTGATATTATGCATGGTAATGAGTGATATCACTACCAGTTCTGGTGGTAAGTTTGGGTTAAATAAGTTAGGAATTACCGGGGATATAAAGAAATGTCTGAAAAGTTTGTGATTCAGAAAGATAAGACCACTTTAGAATTTTAATTCTAATTCATTCCTCTTTCGGTTCTGATGGTACGACTAAACTAAATCCATGACGGAAACGTAGACTCGTTCAAGAACTGCAATCTCTCTCGTAGGGAAAATGTGAAAGAGAAATTTCAAGAAGTGATTCCAAATTAAACTAACCTATCAGTACAGCTTTGCCCAGCCCGAGCCAGGATTGATCTGTAAAACCATGTTTGTCACTAGTTTCCATAAAATTATGTGCAATGCTACAGTTTTTTACTAATTCTTGCATTAATTAACTTCAAAATATTTTATAAGAAAGCACTGGGGATCTGTTTGAAATTTCGGTTTTTCATATTAATTTTTGAAAATCGGTGGCGGTCACCTCATAGGGTCCCTCCGGATGAAAATTTTCTAATTTTAATTCATAATCTTCTATTAGGACCCATTTACATCCTCTGTACCAAATTTCAGCTCGATATGACGATTTTCAAAAATCGGTGGGGGTCACCCCATAGGGTCGCCTTAGACACAAATTTTTTCCAATTTTAGTTCATAATCTTCTATTAGGACCAAATAACATCCTCTGTACCAAATTTCAGCTTTCTACTATAAGTTTGAAATTTTAGTGCATGATACCCTACCCACTCCGATGACCCCCACCAGTCAACCACTGGACCGATTTTGCTCATCTTCGAACTCGATGAGTTTCTTGGACCCATAAACAAGTGGGCAAAATTTCAAGTCGATCGGAAAAGTTTAAAGAGAGTTATCGCGAAGACGGACAGACGGACAGACGGACAGACGGACGGACGGACAGACGGACGGACGGACATAACAGACATAACAGATACATAAGCCCTGGCTCGGGCTAAAAAGTGTGGCTAAGAACATAACTGTTGGCTCTAGCACGATTTTTGTTATGTTATTCATCTTTGAATGGTTCGTGGTCAACTATATTAGCAATCAATCTGGAAATAATTACATCGGTGGACACTATAAGGAATGGAATTCAAAGAAATTACTTTATCAATTTTGTTTCCAGAGTTACAGATATTACTATTCGGTTGTTGCTGGCAAAAAGTAAAACTGACATATTTTAAACTGATTTAAGATTTTCAATTACTTTTATCACTGATGATGACAGAAGTGTATTATCGAAAGCGTGTGAATAAGTTATCCGAGAATTCTCCATCATAATTAAAGCTGACCCAAGTAGCGAAAATCACCCCCGAGGATGGGTTTTAGTAGAGTTGATTTACATGATTAGACACTTTTATCGCAGGTTAAGTAATTTATACCGTAGCGTTTGCAGGATTGCATCCCTCCATTGGAACATTTGATCAATCTCCATCAAATTTTCTAATATTGTTGATCTTCTGGGTCAAATAAAATTTAATAAAATTAGTAAGTAGGACAAATAATATTTTTGAATTGCGATTCATCCTGGGGTAAAATGCATAATATGGGGGTTCATGTTATCTATGAAATGTGGATGGAGGGGTATGAAATTGGTTACCGTTTATCACCATGGGGTGTAACGATTGGAAGGCACGTGACCAATCACATTAAATGCAATCACAAAAACACTATATTTATATATTTATATAAATAGACAACTACATTTATGGTCTTTCACCCGCATACCTTGCATATGAATTTGCATACCTAGGCATACTTCGACGTCGAGAGTATAACTCGAGTCATTTTAAAATGAATGAATTATGCAACAATGAGTCAACAAGGATTTTTTAGAATTCCACACCTGATCTTAATATACGGATTTTTTAAATTAGAAGTTCCAAGCATATATCATTATTGGATATCATTGGATATCACGATGGGTGAGTCGATTATGTACATGATATGAGTTGAGTTTGAGTCGTTAAGAATTTAATCTGGCCTCATGTTTCTTTTGCATTTCATCCATGATCATTAGTGTTACACGATAAAAATAAATGTACACATTTTGGTGGGACTTATTACCATCGATGAAAATATGAAGGTTACATCTATATCATAATTTCGAAAGGTCCGTCCTGTGGAATTTTCCGTGACATCCCACCATTCTGATTGGTTGTCAGCTTTCTGGCTGCGCCGATCAGGGAAGGGATATGAATTATACGTACGATTATGATTACGATTATGATTATGATTATGATTGATTACGATTATAGTTATGAGTATGACTACGATTTTGATTATAATTATGATTATTGTTATGATTTCCTTAGCCATCAAAAAAATGTCCTTAACAACATAATACAATTTCCTTAGCAACATAAAAAATGTCCTTAGCAGCATTACAAAGCGTCCCGTCTGTAGTACTTACATATGTAGTCATGGTGTAAACCACTAATGCACTATATGTAATCATCGCGTGCAAAAAAAATTCATTCGATAAAGTGATATTCTTTTATACTTATTTTATTATGTGTACTTATATAGTTTATCACTATACTTTGAAAGCTTTTAAAGAAGCACGCCACCACACGCCAAGGGAGGGGTCAGTAGAACGGCTCAGTGGCCGCGGGACTTACCAGACTACGTTACAAACACTCTAAGAAACCCGATAACTAAGTTATTAACTAACATTTTGTTATCACACCGTTAATAACCCCGCTCGCGGAATTTGAAAATATTACCGTTTGGTAACTAATTTTCTACCACTCTATAACAAATTAATTACCATGCGGTAGAGTCACATAGATACTCCGGCTGGTAATAACTTAGCTACGTGGTTTCTTAGAGTGTGCTCACTTAAAAATGGCATTAACTCCTAAAATGGAAGCCATCGTGGACCCCAGACACACGAAAAAATCGTCGCTTAGAATTTCGCTTCGTTTTTCGCCTACTTCCTGACAAGCAAGCTTTGGTGCAAGCGAATGAAAACTAAGGTCAGTGGTGGGGTTAAGGTCGGTTAGCTCAAGTCGAAACAAAATATTGAAATTTTCATAATTTTGACCATGCTATCGATAAGCGAAAAACGAAGCGAAACTCTAAGCGACGATTGTTTCGTGTCTGACGTCCCGCCATTTTAGAAACATATGTTATGAAATTGTAACAATTTTTTAGTCCATAAATTTTTGGAATGCAAATACACGCTAACTTCAATATCTTAAGCTGTACTTAGGATAGATTTACCGTAAGGTTAACATAACAAGAGTAAAGTTTCCCTACGCTCTTGGGGAATTGGTATTGACTCATTATGAATCATTACTGTCCGGAGTAAACACCAAAACAAATCTTTTTACAGCCGGGGTAACATCTACTGAAGAGCGGAGGTTGCGAACTATAAACTGACGAACCACGATGTCCTTTGGACATGTGGTAGTGTCCCATTAGTAAACAAGAACCTTGAAGTACTTGGATTCAATGGCCACATTTGTCCATTTTTCAAAAGTGGCAACGAAGGAGGGCCATTATTACAGACCCTGTGATATTTAGCGGCCTGGAAAAAATTAGAGGCCGGGCTAAAATTTTGAAATCTTAGTTCTCAGCCCAAGACAATATTGCGAGACCGGCTGTAATTAGAAGAGAGCTATAAACAGATCTGTTACGGTATATTATTCTACGAGCATCGTTGCGTCGTAATAATGTGGCGGTAATGAAATACTGAGCACTCAGAATCATACTAATTATCACCAAATCAATATCAGTGCGGAGTGCAAATGTGACCCTTCTGCAGCGTAGGGTGTGCGTAGTTTTTTTTTTGCCCCAAATGTAGAATTTACTTTCCAAAAGAGTATCTGCCTCTACATCTACACATTTACATTTGCATATACACATTTACTATTTTGGATTCTTTATTAGACTAATTTTTTTATCAAATTGTGTATTGTTTTGGGCCACTTGCGTTAGATTCGTGTAATTTCCAACTTAGCAAACACTGTAATGAAGCATCAATTCAGCAATCAAGCAGTGAACATTATTTTTAAGAGTGTAGGATGTATGTA